ATTGAAGAGGGACTGGCCTCCTCTGTCATGATGCCGAAAACGACGCAATTACGAAGCTGCTCCACGATCCAGGATTATGTCGCCTGAAAATATTCTGTCACTTTTCCTCTTTGTGATTACAGTCTCCTACTTGACAGCAGATGCATTTCCTGTGCCTCGTGAGAAACCTCTGGATGTCTAGGAAAGACTTCTAATTCCTTGTCACATTGCATTGACACACACACACACACACACACACACACACACAAACACACACACACACTTCAAACATAGCACTTACAAACGTAAAAAGCCGGTGGCCAAAGCCAATATCGACGTGTAGAGGAATGCAACAACAGCTGGAAGTTGAGCTGGAGAGGGAACAAGGGGAGGGAGTCTCTCTCTCTCTCTCTCTCTCTCTCTCTGTCTCTCTCTCTCTCTCTCTCTCTCTCTCTCTCTCGCACTCTCTCTCGCTCTGTCACTCACTCACACAGAGAGCATAGGGTGCAGGTGTTAACCATAGACTGTTAACAGAGCAACTACACTTGACCTCTCATTCTTACAGGTTCAAAGAGAGAAGCCTTTAGGCTGGCAGAGAGAGGAAGACAAGAGGAGAGAGGTAGTAAAAGAGAGGGACATAGAAAGAGAGCGAGAGAGAGAGAGAGAGAGAGAGAGAGAGAGAGAGAGAGAGAGAGAATTCTTTTCAGACCTACTTGGCAGCAATGATAAGAAACCATGATAAGAAGCATGTTTAGCTAATGATATTACAACAGGAATGCAGACTAGTCTCCTTCCACAGAAAACAGTCCAGATCTAATACTGTAGGTTTTGATTCATTCAGTTACATGGAGAAAGATCCAGACTGGTGAGCAAACAAACTGGCAAAACTCATATCACGCAGCAGTCAAGGGTATGCTGATAAAATGTTCATAAAATTAAAGCACTTGCAATGAAAGACTATAATATGGATATATGGATATGTCTGTGATGGGCCTATTACAACAAATTAAGTCATATAGTAACATAACAGGTATGGATATATGCAAGGGAAGAACCAACAGTATCTGTCACTACAAAATCAACTTTTTAGAGCCACACTATGCTCACAGCAAACAGATGCAGTTCATAATGATCTTGAAGAAAAAGTAGGTTGGATAGGTTTATCCCCTAAGAGGATATTAGCGGGATTTCAGTGAGAATAAATTTGAGGGAGAACATATTCTTCAGCCAAGTAAAACTGATGTGGCCTTTAATTTCATCACAAATAGTCCTTATATACAAGAGGAGCTATTTATGTAATTGTATCCTACAGGAGCGCAGGTGCAAGATAGATCCAACGTGACCACCCCCTGACAAGAATGCACATTTACCCAAGAGATCTTGCAGGTAATGAGCTAAGTTTTTTGGTTTTCTTCAAACTTGCAGCTATATGAGCAAGGTGAAAAAACCATTATGATAAGTAAAGATATAAAAAGCAAAATTCAAGATGATAAATTATCCTAGTTTTCAGCAGCATATCCATATTACCTCTCTAACACATATTGTCATATTTCATGTGTATCTGCAGGTGGTGGTAGGTCGCTCTTTGCTCTTTTCTAAGTCATGTTTGTCATCTGAAAAGTCTCAGCTACATGCACCATCATGTATCAATCTGAAGACATGATATAGGCATGCCAGCAGTTCTGTATCAGAAGTAGGTAACTTTATTTGGCAGAGGTCTATGCATTTCCCAGTTCATAACAGAAGTTTCATAAAACAACAACATGCATAACACAGAACTGTATACTATCTGTGTCGTGCAGAACTTTGTTTAGGCTATGCACAGAGACCATAACTAAAGTAATGTACAAACTCAGATGTCTGTACTCATTCAGGTGAGCTTGGCATGAATAAAAAAAGGGATGACATGCAATATAGGCCAGAACTGTAGTGCAAGTTAACAATTATGATGCATACATTTTTGTCAACCAATACGACTAACAGCACCTCATCTAGGAAAGCCTCTGAAATTTGCTTCTGTGTGGCAAAATGTCTGCCATGTGGTCATTTTAGTTCTTGACTCAACCTTTACAGATATATCTCTGGAGTCAAGTCTTAAAAAGGGAATAGCTCCATGTCATCAGGATAATACTACAAAATTGTCTTGCAGTTTCTTGAAACTTTCTTTCTTGTCAAGTGTTTCCAGGAGCTATTAAGCTATTATGCCTCCTTGGATGCTTGCCGGCAAAGAGAGCTTTAAGCTTTCCCAATGACATCATCCCAGAGCCTGTGGGTTTGAGAGAGCTGCCGAACCTTTGACAGCATTCCGGAGTCAATTCCACAACTCCCATGTGATCCCAGGAGGCTGAGCAGGAACTCTGGAGCTGTTTGGATTAGGATTCAATTGTTAGGGAGACCCTACTGTGAGAGACAAGTTTCATTCAGATAAATCCTCAACTTGCATTTTGAATAGGTCTTTAATAGCCATTGCTTTAATGCCCATATTCCTTCTCTTTTTAAGTAATTTTTCCAGTCTACAATGCAGAAAATTCTGTGAAACAGTATCTGAACCACTTAGTATCAATACTTTAAATTGAAACCAGTACAAATTGAATTCTATTTCATTATCTGGCAGCTCATTTAATCTCAGAGGAATTCCTCATATTGTTGATGTAAGGCTTCAAGCATTTGTGTGGATAGAACTATTCAAACCATTTGCTTTGAATACCATCTTAATGACAGATAATTGGATGAACCTGACACTGTTTGTGGCTTACAGGTAAGTGAGGTGTGTTTTTTATCTGCCTGCAGTGGTCTGCTGCAGTGCTCCACATGTTTTGTCATGTCTGTCTCTTTCTTCATTCCCCCCACCCATAGGATACTGCCAGTTATCTTTACAGCTGTTGCAGTACTGTAGTCATTGTGATCTAAACGAGAGCACAGAAAGCACACAATAAATCTGTGTGTAATGATGTTGTGGATCTGGTTGGCTCTGGCCACTGACATCACTTAACACCAGGGATATACAATGACTTCAGAAAGCATGCAGATCAGGAACGTCCTGTTTACTTTAATGAAATATAGAGATGTATCTTGAGATATATCTAGAACTTGAGTCCAGCTGTGGCAAATTGAATTAGGTGCACATAGTTTAAAAAGGCACACACCTGAGTATATAAGATGCAATAATTCACACTGCATGTAAGGATGAAAACCAAGGAGGTCAAAGGACTTCTGTCTGTTTGATCTCTATGATAAAACTGTGATGAGGCATACATCAGGGTAATGGTATGAAATAATTTCTAAAGCTTTGAGTCCAGGAGCACAGTGGCCTCAGTAATCGTGAAATGGAAGAAGATTGACCATCTGACCAAAGTGTGTAACTGGGCAAGAAGAGCCTTGTTCAGGGAAGTGACCAAGAACCCAACAGTCACTCTTAGTACTGAGTTAAGGGTCAAGTCTACTTTTGTAAATGAGAGATTTCAGTTTTCTGAGTTTTCTTAAATTTGCAAAACTTTCTAAATCAGTCATTAAAGGTTATTGAGTGGACTAAAATAAATGGCTTTCAAATAGCTGCAAGTCTTTACAAACGCACCATACAACTAAAGTATAAGTGTGACAATATTACTGCTACTTCAATGCTAAACATTGTTATTATTTAAGATTGGAGAATGCACCATGTTTGGCTGTGATGAAGGAGGCAAAAATGATACATCTGGACTATTTATTGTAACCTGAGGTGTAGATGGGATGTAGAGGGGACTCAGGTGTTGGGTCTGGAGCACACTGAGGTTAGAGAAACTGCAACTGTGTTTAGTTGCTACTACAACATCTACTAAAATTACTTTGTGCAGAAAATGTATGTAGAGTTACAGAGTTTTGGCTCAAACACATGTAGTGCATGCAAGTGCATTTTGATTAATTCAGGACTTTATTCTTTATCTAGAAGACCAACCTTGAGTTGTTCTCTTCTCCTGTGAAACCTGGGAAGCACGGAGAGAGAGAGGGAGAGAGAAATGCTCTTCATCAGTCAGAGCTGCTTCTCTCTGCTCTCTCACTTGCATGCCATGGTATGTGTAATTACTGCAAAATTAAAGTGTCTCTCTCTCACTTTCTCTCTCTCTCTCTGTGTGTGCTCCCTTTGCGGTGCTTGGAGATCACGCTCAACTGTGTCAACAATGTGGCCTGGACAGAACAGGCATTTCACACTAGTGAGTCAAACATTGAAATAAAGGACAGAGTTGAAATAAGAAAAAAAAATCTCTATGTCCACTTTCTATCAGTCCAGCTAAACTTAATCTCATCCCTCATCATCTCTTATGGACTAGACAATTAGTCTGTCATTTTTCTTTGTTTCATTTCTTTCACTCTTTCCTTCTCTCTGCTCAGTAAATACCTCTAACTTTATAAGTTAATGTAATATTCCTCTGCTGTCTCTATCTCCTCCTCTTCTGACCACAGGAATGCAGGTCGCCTGTCGCAGCACTGCTGTCATAGTAATCACTGGGCCCACTGTAACACACACAAACACCATAACACACACTAACACATGCACACACCCAGAAACATACACAAACTACAGTATGCTGGCCATTTCCTTCATTGCTCTTTCTCCATGGTTTGTGTTATGGAACCTTCTACATACTTGACACACACTGGACATGGTCATATACTGTGGCTCTTCTATGCATTCCCCCACATTAACAGGAAAAAATTTCTATTTCTGTCTAGTAAAACAATGGAGGTGAAAAAAAATACTGACCAAAGCATTTATAGCTGTATATACTGTATGTATGGGTGCATATTTTACGGGAATTGTGGCACAGGTATCACACATATTTGGCTTTGACTCTGTAATTATGCAAGTCTGTGTATTGTATAAAAGGTGCCAGTGTTTGTCAACTTCAAACTATACAGTCAAACCATAAGTTTTGACACGGTGTTGGCACAGTAGGCTCCTCTTCCACAATTTGTGACTTTGCTTAACATAGAAACAAAAAATATCAAGAAAAACTGCAACCACTACTTTTGTCTCTCGCTCATTTCATTATTGAAAAACACCAAGTGCACAGTTCAAAACCAACTTTATCTCTCGGGCCGAGTGTTTACAATTATAAATATGTTTGAAATACAATAAACAAATTCCATTCTGTTCATGTCAGGTCTTGTCTTTCATAGACTCTTAATATATAACAATTTTGGATGTAATTAGCTGTCTGAATATTTTTCGGAATACCTTATGTGTACACAAGTTTCTATGATGTTGATGCCTAAAATACCTAAATATAGTGTTTTAATATCTGATCCAGGCTTAAAACATAATTCAAAAATTCAATGTGATCAGTAATGGGATAATAATCTTTGAAAAAGGAACAAAACCAACTGTTATAATATTGATATCAATGACTGGAAAAAAAAAGTAAAATCTAGAACCCCCTCTTAAGCATCTGAGATGTTGAACCTTAAAAGTTAAATCATTGTTCATGTTACAGGTAGCTGAGAATGTGGTGAACTGTGTGGCAGTGCCATGTCATAGAGGCAATGTGATATGTTTCCATTTTCCCTCAAAAGGGAATGTATGAAAAGAAATCCCCAAATGAAGTCATGGCTGTGGTCTAACAGGATTTGGTTGGCATTATGAAGATGGTAAAAAAAATGCAACTGAGCATTCTTGTTCTTCTCTGACCTAAGCTCTGGCTTCTTTCGCTCTTTTGGACTTTGTGCATGATATTGTGGCAGAAAGTCAGCTGCAACTAAAACCGTGATGTTCAAAATGCCAAAGGTTAGTTGATGAGTTCCTGGAAGCTTTAAAGGCTTTATGTCATTCAAAACATGTAGAGGTCTCTAGCTCATACAGTAATTTTGTTCTTACTGCTCAAGTGTAAGACAATGAAACCTTGTCAGCTAAAGGACGGTCTGTTTACTAGCTGATGATAACAATCCTTATTTGAGTCACTGGTGTCATATAATATATTATTATTAAAATTAACCTCACAGAATGTTTTAAGAAACTGATTGCAGGGACTCCAACCATCCACTGTCCAACCTCCAACACACCGTGAATCAGCACACATTAGTCCCGTTGTGCAAACGTGTCATCTTGGTTTGCTGTCCCATTCAGACAATAGCTGGTTATTGAGTTTGATGACAATGTTTGCAAAGTCAGTGAGCTCCACAAAGTCAGAGGTGATGATGTTGACCCCGTCCACCCCGGGCCTCTGAACCTCAACCCAGGATATGATTGTAGGCAGGTTTCTAGAGCCACAAAAATGAGAGATGGAGATTAGATTTGGTTAGATAATGGTGGATTTAGAAAACAGGACGTAAAGAAAATAAGTGTGTGAATGAAACAAGCTGCACTAGAACGTAAACAATTCTATAAATTTCTGTTACCCCCAGAATTCTGTCACGCGAATTTTAATTTGAACTGATTTCCTCACCCTGAAAACATAACCAAAATGTCTAGTGACAAATTTGTGTCTCTATTGGTTTCATTGTTATGGCTACAAAGAGTAACTGAATTACAGCAGATATCCACAATCCTGAATCCCCTGTCCACCGAATGCTGTTGATGAGTGATTCACAGACAGCTGTTGATGAGGTTTTGAAATATATTGATGACTCACAATGTGCAAAAAAATTTACCTGATGGAAAAAGTTAAATAGAGTGATGATCAGTCAGTGAGAGGCCACTGTGCCACTATTGTCTCCAAATCAAGTCTCCAAGTCACTTTCTGGGCGGGCACACATACACATACACACACACACAAACACGTACTGAGGAACACACGCCATGACTTTGTAAGTGTACCACTTCTAACACCCTTGAGTTCTCTGCTATGTTTGAGCCGCTAGCAGAACAAAACCAGGAAGTCAGAATGTTTATCCAGCAGTGATAAACAATCCCATTTCCTCGGAAGTGCAAAATTAGGGAACCTCCTGTCTCGCCAGAGCCTCCATTCAGGAATTTTACACCTCAGCATCAGTGGCTGCTTTTCTTACATTTAAGGGCATGGTGGGTATGTGGTTTACCTAAGTCATTCCACTGTTATTTCCACTTAAATGTCAGGCTCTATGAGCTACATGACTGAAAAGGTTTGTGCAAATAACTAAGTCCTTGCTTAGGAAATGAGATCTCTTATCCGAGTGATGACATGTGTTACTGTTTGAGCCTATGTGGTTTGGAAATGAATATAGAGGATTAGAGATGAATCTCAGTGGAATAAAGCAGTGAAGTGACCGAATATTGTAACAGAGAAGCTAGACATAACAGTTTTTTTATAATGGTAGTTAATCTTCTACAAGTAAATGAAACACAGTCATCCACATTGGTGTTGCTGCAACATTACAGTACATCCATGTAGAAGACAGGGTAGAAACTGTAAGAAGCCAAAAATTCATTTCACACTGTGGCAGCTCTATCCTGCCATGACACTGTGTTTTCCTTTCCTTTTCAAGGGCATGTGAAAAACTGGAAATCCTCTTTGTTGCAGGCATGTGTTGTTGTTGCCACTGTACTGCCCCCTACTGACCACAGATTAGAGTAAATAAATGGAACTGAGCAGTAGAGAGGATTCTGTGTAGGTAAGCATTTAATTCCAATGAACGGAGAGTAGGCAGAGATAACTAGTTGGGGTTAGGGTATGGTTGAAGTCAGGTTAAGCATCATAAGACATAACTGGTAAGGGTGAAAGTGAAGGTTAGGTTCAGGTTAAAGTGATTGGAAACACTTAATTTAACCAGAAACAGACTACACTTCCTGCAGAATCTACTCCCAAGCCATCAAATTAAGTTATACGTAAAATCTATATATAAAAACCGACAAAGCAGTTGACATGCTATTTTTTGTTTATCCACAATAACTTAGTCACTGACCTTTCCACCAGGTAGTTACGTAGGCCCCAGACCAGGCCCTTGGCCACAGTGTTGACCCTGGGTGTGAGGATGGCCTGGGACACATGGAAGGAGCCCTGTTTTGCTCTTTCCTTCAGTGTAGTTTCCAGGAACTAGACAGGATAATGTTAAATGGAGGAAATCTCATCTAAATAACACTTCAACTGGGAAATTTTTACAGTTTATGTAAGTATATTACACATGTGTCAGAGGAAAAAACTGTTCACTTTTGTACACTTTACTAACATAGTGAACCAAAGAATTCAGAGGTGTGCTTTTGACATTAGTAGAGAAAAAAGCTGAGGGTTAAGAAGAGACAGAAGTGGAGGAAGAAATGAAGGAGGACAGGGCAGCTGAGGATGAAGACAAGCTTGAGAAGAAAATGTAAAGGGAAATGAGTAAATGCAAAAAAGAGGCTCATAGGTTCATCCCAATCATGAATATAGGCTGGTCTTTAGTAACTGTGGGTTTACTACAACTACAGAGAGCAGCGAATCTTGAAGTGATTCATGCTCATATTAAAGAAATTATATTAATTATTAAATAAATGGTTAAAATTATGCCCAAAAATTATTTACTATCTTTTTTATCTTGAATTCTCAAAGTAATAGTAAGCCATAGATTTCTGGATTGATTTTCCCCCGAAGAACATTTTTAAAAAAGTGTAGGGGGATTTCATGTTGTTATGCCTTTCAACACAAGGGTTAGGATTAGGGTTAGACTGTTTGATTGTGGATGTTCTGACCTGAATGAGCTTGTTGGGTTCGGTGGTGTTTGCCCAGGGAGCGGGGATCTTGCTGCCAGGCCACATTACAGGGATGCCCTGAGCTGAGGGATGATGGTAGAACACTATTACCTGAGGAGAGGAGAGAATGAATGACACTGAATATAAACCTGAAGTTTGAAAGACAGCAAAGACAGGCTTTGACTTTTCAGTACATAGAATAAACTACCCCAGTTTACATCCAAAACTGCTATAGGCTGGTAGGTAGCACTTGGGTCATGAAAATCAGGTGATGAAAATGATTTTGCCAGTTCATTGCATCTACACACACTGTAAGCCTAAAAAGTCCATATTTGCAACCTTTACACCAATCTCATTGTATGATTATCCATAACCCAGTATTTACAGTCATATCTACACACCTTCACACTATTGTCCACATTATGGTCCAGTATGCGGTAGCCCGTCTTGTCTACGATCAGCCTAAAAGGGCTCATGTCACTCTGCAACTCATCTACCTCCACTGGCTACCCATGGCTGCCCAAATCAAAATCAAGTCATGAATGCTTGTCTTCAGAGTGACTTCTGGGTCTTGAACTCAATCAAACAGGCTTATGCTCCTCCTCTGCCACTACATTCCTACAAGGAATGTCATCTGGCATTGCCATCCCTACACACAAGACAATCTCAGTCAAAACTGTTGTCATCTCTAGTTCCCTGATGGTGGAACAAGCTACTGAATACTATCAGCGCAGGGGTGTCCCTCTCTATCTTCAAGAATCTTTTGAAGACTCTATATTCCAAGAGCACCTCCTCTCCTAACACCCTCACTAGCACTTATTATGCACTTTCAGTGCCCTTCTTTACTGATCTCCTTGCACTTATGGAATTGATGTAGCACTTAATGCTTACACCAAGGTCTCCTACTGCACTTAAGCTTTACTGTTGTCCCTCACTTTGAAGTCACTTTGGAATGAAATGTATTGTATAACATGAAACATAGCCAATCTTATACAGTACTATGTACTCAATAGAAAACTTTGTTAGCATCAGTTGTTGTAATATCACAACACAGAATGTGCAACAATTCTGTTAAAAAGACCACTCCTTACTACAGTGATTTAGCAGTGAGACGATATGAGAGCAGGTTGAATGATATGAGAGCAGGTTGGGTTACAGTGTCTTTTCCAGTGACAAACAGAGCAAGGAGGAAAGCTGCACTCTGCAGCTGGTAATTGTGCAAATCTATCTATCTCTCTACTCTATTGCTATTCTCTGCCCGCTCTCCTCTCTTTCTTTTTTCTTTGCCAACTAAGCCAGTCACAGATTAGGGTCATAGGAGCAGAGGTTTAACTGATAGCAGACAAATGACACAGACAAACTGTCACAGCCAATGTTTTCCACTCACCCTGCCTCTGTCTCACTCTCCACTCTGCCACACCTCCTCATCAGCCTCACTCTCCTCACTTGTTGCCCCCAGCTGCACTCCATCTCTAATCTAGCCAGTATATATTCATCCCTGGTTCACTCGCACTTTGCCAGATTGTTCTAGTATTATGCAAGACTTTCCAGCGTTCATCTCTGCACTGGCTTCCCTGTATTGACTCTGCTTGTCCCTGACCATCCTGCCTCGTCTCTGCCCCAGTAAACGCCTCAGCCTTCTGTCCCCGACCACAAGTTCTGCCTGTGTGCTTCCTGGTCCCCGTCTGCCTGTCCCTGTGGCTGTTTGGCGTTCTCTAGCTCTGACATTGCAACGTGAGTGCTTCCCTGCTGGTTTCCCAATCCTTCGTCTGACTCTGATTACCCGCCTGCCTGCTCCTTCCTGGTTCGTCTGCCCCGCTGACTGCACACCTGGTTCCGATCCTCCTGCACCCTCGACTACGTCTCCAACCTACTTCCTAACGGTACCGTTGCCTTCCTACCAACTCATCCCTGTGTTTGTGAGCCTCCCCAACCCGCTCCACTCACCTGCTCCGCATCACAGCATCCCCAGCCCCGGACCCCTTCCTCTATCCCCTATACCCACCTGTGTGCAATATCTCTGCCGGTTCTTTAATAAAAGTCATTACCAGCTATTCACCTGTTTGGTTGTGCTGCAATTGGGTCTTACCACACCCCGTTACACAAACAGGACAAAGTAAACACAATGTCACACTATCTGCAGGATCCTAAAACAGGAAGCAGGCCACATACACACACAGGCTAAGATGTGTGTGTACATGGTTGCTTGCTGAGCCTCTCATCTCTATACATATGTATGTATACATAAAAAGAAAAAGATGGAGAAATAAAATCAAGACTGCGAAAGTGTGACATGATAGGTGAATGATGAGAATGAATGAAGACAGGCAAAAAGAGACATGAAAGCGAATGTGAAGACATGATAAATGCTAAATACAATGAAAGAAGGAAGGCGGGTTAGATGGTGGAACAAGTGTTAATAGGATGACGCTCACCACTAATTCCTGTCCTGGAGAGTTACAGGCTTCATGGATTACCTGACCACAGGGGTTAAGTGGACCATCCAATACACACCTGTAAACTTCATACAGTATATACATGCAATGTATTTTCATGCTGCCATTCACACATACTTGTAGTCAACAGAGAGCCCCCTTCCGTCCTAGGATGCAGATGATGATGATGGTGATAATGATCTTCTATCCTATACTAAGATCTGCAAATTCAGATTAAAATAATTTTGATGATATGATTTATCTACTTTAATCTACTTTAAATTCTCAGTAGTGCCACTGAAATTATTACTGGGAAATCTGGTTGAGAAAAATATTTGTTTTGAAATGTTTCATGATGGTTTTTATGTAATGTTGTACATCCACCTTCATAATGAAAGTGCAAACTTTCAATGAAAGTTTCATTGATGCATCCAGATCTCACCTGATATTTCTTCTCCCATAGATAGTCAAGAGTAATGCTCTCCACTGCACAGTTGTTACAAAGCTTGCTGCCAAACACTTCCTGGAGCATGTTGATGAGGTAAACATGATGCTCTGCATCCATTGCATAGTAATGGTTGAAGTCCAGAAACACCACCTAAATCCACATTAACTTAGTCAGTTAACAGTCCAAGACTCTCTCCATGCTCATAGTTATGTATCAGTGTTTTTATTATTATGTTGCATAAAAAAAATATCAAAAGTCCTTCTTACCTCTTTCCTGTGTCTGCCTAGGAAGGAGTTGATTTCTAACAGACCATCCCTCACCTTTGGGGCAGAACAGCACAAAAGTTGGAGGCCATTTTCAAAATCAAACCTAAAGGTTTGTTGGTCAAACACTAATTAAAAGGAACAGCGTTTTGGTCACAATTTTAGATCCCCAAAGGTTTCCCTTAAGTACATTGTACGTTATGTACTGGAACACAAAGTAGTATATTGCAGTATAAAATAAGGGATAAAGAAAAGTGAAAGACCAATTGTATTGGCTATGTAATTACAATCTGTTAGAGTGCATGAAGTTTTTGTCCCTATAATCAATGAAGCCTGTATCTAATGTTTTACAGCCACAAGTCCATCTCATGATGCACTATTTGTAGCAAAACACTGTGTCATAAAGCAGACAGGCATGTATCAGAGTGACCCATGTCAGAGGAGGGATGTTTACAACTAAATACACAGCCTTTGATCCCTGTACAAGGCCATCTCCATCCTACTACTAACAACAACAGCTGGAAACAGAACACAGTACTAGAACAAAACATTTACTGCTCACTCATGAGACAAAAAAAAACATTTAGACTAGCTGAAATATTTGAATCAATATTCAGATGTAATTTTGATCATTTCTGGGATGGAGTAAGATAATCTAGAAAGACAAAATCATTCAGCATTGAGGGACAATACTGGACTGTGACAGTTCAAAAAGAGAACTATGACAATGAATTGTAAAAGACTATACAAAAGGATAGGGAGACTATCGTAGTATGTCTGTATTTCCTCTGCTCACCTTGTGTCCAAAGAGGCCATGGATGAAGTAAATCTCCTTTCCAGATTCACCTGGTTTGGAGGAGACCCTGAGATCAAAGTAACGAATTCCTGCATCCAGCTGCTCCTTAAAAGTCAGGTTCTAGGAACACAGATCAGGTCACATTATACATTACAACTGGTTGCAAAACCCAACACATCTGCTGCACTGCAAAACACACACTTTCAAAAGTTGCCCAAAATATGTCTTCTTATAAATCATCTACAAGCAACTGGTTTTATTACTAATTTCAGATCTGTACCTGTGTCATGGACCACTTCACCATGACTTTCTTGGCTAAGACACTGAAGACAGTGGCCAGATATTTGACATAAGCCTTCTGATCAGGGCCCACAGGAGCATGCACATCTACCCAGTAGGTGAAAGAATCATGGGACCCTAGAAAAAAGATGATGATGGGGATAGAAAATAAAAACAGGAAAGGGAAATGACAAATAAATATGCACAAGGAATGTTAGAAGGGCAAATGACAAAGATGTAGTTACAGATGTTGAGGGGAACTGAAAAAGGTGAATGTGAAGTATGAGAGAACATAAGACAGCAGGTCAGGACATGCAAGAAAGAAAAAGATGTAAGATAAGGCAGCATACACATGAAATTAACAAGATGGAACTAAAGCTGCATGGGAGAAACACACACACACACACACACACACACACACACACACACATTTTGAAGGAAAGCACAAGATGTGATTGTTGTGCAGTCCTTCAAAAATTTAGGCTATCCATACAGTGGTGGCATCTTAACGCACGGCAGGCTCACCTGGCACAGCGAGGTGTTTTAGTGGCATGGCACTGAGCTTGGAGGGGAGCGAACCCATCCAGTCAGCATTGAAATTCCCGATCCCCGCGGGTCGCGTCTTCATGTCAGAAACAGCCTGTCAACAACCAACCCCCCTCAGGAAACCGCTCTCCGGTACAGACGCACTCCCAGTGAGAGATCCCCGTGCGCTCCCAACAGGTAGAATGCACCATAGGTCATCTTGGAAAGTCAGAATAAGTTTAATTCATTTTCTACATCTATCTTGGCATCTGTTCAACTGTGGCCCGTTTTCCTCCCTCGGTTTCCGCTAAGCTATAGCATGGCTTCGCGGTGCGTTGTGTTCCAACTGGCAAACCAAGCATCCGTTGACAAGACTGGCGGGTGGTTAACGACTGCGATAATCCTCTTAAAGTGAAATCCCACTTGTTATCCCCCTTCTCCTGTTTTTTGTCTTAACCTGCCTAATTTGTGTGCGAAGACTACCCCGTGGACACACACAAACACGCACACGCACATACAGAAAGAGACGGATAGGAAGGTTAGTCTTTGTTGGAAATTATTGTGGTCCAGAGTCAGCAAATGACGTTGCATAGGGAGACCAATTCGGAACTGAAGGGACAGTCCAGGTCCCGGAACGTTCCAGTTAAATATGTGAGTACAGTGCTCTTTAACGGCTGCAGGGCGATTTACCAGACGTGCATGAGCAAAACCAACCAGTTTGTCATCATCCTGAAAGTCTTTTCTCTTGCCAAACCGAAAATAATCTTTGAAAATATTTTATATGAAGCATGAATCCCATTTATTCGTCGCTTGTCGACGTTTACTTACGAGCGTGGAATTAGATCATCGTTGCCTCTTGTGGCCGATGGGTATAAAGCGCCCACCACAATCATGGTTCTCACGATTCGTGAAGTACCAGCGGGCCTCCGGCCGTAGGGGGCAGTAACGAGTCCATTGGTGCTCGATGCACCAGAACGGGGCGAATAAGCTGCCGCACTCGAAAACATACTAGGACAAGTTAAATAAAGGTGAGACTTATTCTTTGTTGGAAGTGTTGTCAAGCAATATTTATTTTACTGTTACAGGAGACACTAGGGATGAGGGTCAACTGGTTGGTTTTGCTAATGTGCGTCTGAACAATCGCCCCACATCAGGTAAAGAGCGGCGCTTAACCTTTTCCCGGCTTTTTCTCTGGGAGGTTTGTGAACGCCTATAAAGCATTAGTCAGCTCTTATGTGTCAAGATATTTGTGACTGCCGAGCCGATTTAACATGACATGACTCTGACTCTACATCAAAACCTGTGCGCCGACAACAACTTGTAATTGTGTGTTCTCAGTTGTTCATTGGCCGAACAATCATAACACTACAGCACCATCCATTGATATAGCACTTGGACTACCACAGATGGTAAACCGTAACATTACAGCTTGAGGTATTGGTATAGTACTTGAAATACCAGAGGTAGTAAACCATAACACTACAGCTCCATCTTTTGGTATAATACGTGAACTACTGTCTCAGGTGGTAGGATGAAGAGCTCAAACTCTGCCACTGTCTCAGACATCCCAAACATTAGTGTTGTGAGTGCTGGAAAATTCGGGAGAAATCCTTCAGTTTGACCAGCTCTGTGTTTGGAAGTAACTATTCATCTTTGTCACTTTGAGTCTGAAATGGGCTGATAAATATTTTATAAACATTTATCGGTACACTTCCGCAGTATCGATCACCGATCCCAAGGACAACAAGTCCCACAATACATTGCCCCCGCATGCATGCGCTACTTGTCACCTGGCAGCTTAAACAAGCGTTTGTGTGTACGTTTCCATAGGGAGCAGTCACGCGCGCATACACGCTCCTTATCGTAAGAGCGAGGATTAAACACTACGAGAATTTTATCTGAAGAAACCTGGTGTTATCAGCAGGCACAGACAACGGCTGAGACAAAGAACTACACCCTTAAATGGTGAGTTTAAAACTGAGAGAAAGAAGAAAAGGGGCGAAAGGCCGGTACGAAGTGGTTGAGGAACTGAACTGACATATTGACAAAAAATGTCAACTGTGTGTTTTTTTTTACTTTTACACATCTTATTTTACAGTATTTTATCAATCAAAATATAATGTTTTTGTTTTATTGGTAGCTGTGGTTAAGTGGGATGTGTAGGCTATGTCAGTGGAGTTATGGAAAGCAAAGGGCACATTTACTTTACCAAGACATTTCACATGATCAAATGTAACTGTTTCTTTTCCACTGTCAGGTTAGCGTCAACGTGTGTTTCAATATAACTGACCTTGAACAGCTTCCTAATGTCATGTTGCCTGGGCAAATCTTAATTCCCTTCAAATCCCCCCACAGCAGGTTGCCATATGTGAAGGCTGAGTGCAGACCAGCAGTCCCGCTGGCTGGCCTCTCTCCTTGTCTTATAATTATTATCTCAGTGAGACTTGGATATCAAAAAGTTTTTTTTAGAAACATAACATTTGCAGTGGAAAAAAAGATGAATTGAGAAGTCTATATGCAGTGTGCAAAAATGGCAACAAAATTTCTAATCTTAATTACATTCACCCAATAGATGATTATCAGGAGTCATAGAGGTAAATCCAGTTTGGACATTCTCTTTGGAGGGGAGTTCCTGGCCCCATCCAATGAAATAAACACTAATCTCATTTTGTTTAGCTGCCCTTGATTCACCTGCAACTGTATTTCCTTTATCCTAAATACAGCCGGTCAGAACTCAAGCAGACAGGTTCTACTTGCTTACCAGCCTTTACTAAAGTTTCATGAAAATAGCTCACAGATGGAATTCAAATCCTTACACCATAATACTCAAAGGCATTAGGCTTATATTGCTTAACATTTTGGTATGCATTTCATTATTATTTGAAACCAATATATCCATTAACCTTTCTTTATTAAAAAAAAATGCCTGGTTTTCCTTGGCATCTCCTCACCCGTCTGAATATACATGCAGTTTTTCAGTCAAGCCCTGCAGCTGCACACTTGACAATTGTTGTTTAACCAGCTCCACCTGTGTCAACTGGCTTGCTCTAGAGAAACTTTACGTGAGTTGATGAAGAAAGGAAGAGTTTTCTCTTTTGGTCACAGTCTCACTTTTGTAATATTTCATCACCAGAAAATGTTATTCAATAGTGCACAACTCACAATCACAATTAATAGGTTTATACCTGGAGGGTAATTGAAATGGCCAAAGCAACTATTGTTTTGTGGAATAAATTTGAGAACACTTTGCATTGATTTTATTTATGTAATTCTGCATGTACTATAAGAATGGGATGTATGCAACACCATATCTAAAAGCTGTAGTCAATAGATTTATTTTTAAGGATGTTCCCTTATTTGCTTGTTATTGCTTCTCTAAAATTTAAAGAATCCTCATGGAGATTTATATGGCTGAATATACAATCTAACAGTGAGATCAGAGTGGCCTGTGGCGTCAATCAAATCCTCTTGCCAGGCATGGGTGCTTGGGGAAGGTAGTGGATGTCGGTAAGCATGACAGTGATGTAACAACCTATTTACATCCCTGTTGGCCTAATCTGACTAGGGCTGCCTATGTCATCTCCCTTGGGTAGTTATGTTTGAGCCTCCTACTAGTGTAACACACACCTACTACTCCTCATCAAGGAAAAAACAAGAAGTGGTTCTAGCTTGTCTTTGCCCTCAGATCACATAAGAATCCTGTTTTCAGGGGTAAGACAAATACCTTGTATTTTTTGTGTGATTTTGTGTATTTGTAGTTAAAATGATTGCGTCCGTTGCTGATGATGTTTTTTTCTTTCCTGTCACTGCAAAGGCTTGCAAAGGTGCAGTGTTGACTGTTGACTGATCTACATCACCCGGATCGGCCCTTTCCAACAATGGATCAGTTTCTGCAAGATGAGTTTTGACTTTCAAGAATAGGTTAAACACTGGGACATGTTGGCCAGATGAAAATTGCCCTGGGAAAGAACAGTTGAAATGTTCTTGAGAAGAGGCTGGTGAAACAACATTTGTCAAGGTGAATAGAACAGGAAATTTGAAATACATTTTGATGAATGAATCAGAAGTGTGTTTCCACAACTTGTTTCACAAATTAGGAAAATCAAAAAGCTGATGAAACCATCTTAAGAGATAATGAATCGCTACACCACCCTGAAGCAGCTTGGTGATGGTACCTATGGCAGTGTGCTGATGGGGAGAAGCAATGAGTCTGGAGAACTGGTGGCTATAAAGAGGTGAGGATGATGATCATTAAAAACATTTTTTTTACTTTAAGATTTAAATATTGTCTCTATTGTCATTTTGAATATTGTGATATAGTTAAAGTGTTGTCTTTCTTCAGTTTTAAAGGCTGCTTTACATTATAGTGATAAAATTCAGTCAACCTATTAAAAGTCCTATGTATATGAACAAGCTTGTTACTAATTTTGTCCATATTGTGTACCCTTAGTTTACATTAAATATTGCATAAAAAGCATCAACAGTCACCCCCAGAATGTTTTCACAATATATATAGTGATGAATGGAAAAATGTGATGTTTGAATTTCCAAACTCACCTACAGAGAGTGTATTATGTCTTTATTTAAGTTTCCAAATATACACTTAGAGAAGTGATTCTGCACTATATTTTAAATGTAGGTGAACTTTGTCTCAGCCTTTTTATACTAATGTGTATTTAATATTTACTACCTAACTAAACAGTTTTATAAGGCAGATATGATAAATATTCAAAAACTTGAGCTTACTTAATGAATTATACTTTGCCTTGGATAAATATCATACTAAAGAAATTCAAAGTGATGTTTAGGACTGTGAACTACTGGTTTCCTGCCATCACCAAGGCAAACAAACTAGCTTCCATGCCTTTGTTTCAGCAGCATGGCAGCAGTGCTCAATAATAGATGAGAAACCTGGGAGATGTGTCCACTGGTTGATCATTTGGTTTCTGTGCAAGACAATACATGTGGTGACGGTGAAAAGGAGTGAAAGTAGAGGGTGTGTGTCAGGTTGCTGACATAGTGGAAGGAACGAACGAAACTGGCGGGCACCCAGAGAGTAGAAAAAGATATGTGCACATTCTGTAACTCTTACATAATTCCAGAGGGAGGTAACGCTGATCAGGGTAGATAGGCTATGGTAAAAGTTTCCCCATATACCGGCTGGGTACTTTTAATGAACATAGCAACGCAAACTGTGATAAGACTGACAACTTAAGGCATCATTGTGTCAACTGTGTCAAAAATCTATGGTGAGGCCTGTAAAGTTTAGAATATCAATTCGTTTCACTTTACAATATATAACTTGCAGGTTTGCTCATGAAATGAAACGATCCGTAGAGACACCTCAAAAGAACTGAATTATTGATGTAGACACACAAAAGAATTTTGCAAAGATAGTGACAGCCTGTGCATTAGATGTAACAAACTGCATCATCATATCTTCTTTTTCTTTTAACATATAAACAGTTGATGTAGCTTTTCCTTTAATGGCTGTCTTTGTGTTTCATAGGATGAAGAGGAAGTTTTATTCATGGGAAGAATGTATGAACCTCAGAGAAGTGAAGGTAAGGATGGTGATGCTTTGAGTAGGTTGTGGAACAGCTTGAAGAAGCAGCACTCCCAGTGCCTGGCAACAGTGAGAGCCATGAGGTGAACATTTGTTGCTGTGGGATGTATGCAATAATGCACAACAACTCTTTGAACACTATTGCCAGTCACAGTTGTCCAAAAAACTTATTTTGTGTATAGTCATTAAAATATTGCAATTTAACTATGTAAATGTCAAACTCTCAAAAAAGGATCAAGAAGGATAATTCATGTTGTACACATTAGTAAAATTTGTCTCTTCATTGTACCTTTACCACCTGAAGCTTATACATAACTACAGTATCAGTTACTACATTACTCTCAGCTGTTTGACAGTGTTCCTGCTCTCTGGCAATTTGTCTCTCTTTGCAACTTGTTAACATTGAATGCCATTACAGAACAAAGCTGTGCAATATCTCTGTTATAAACTTGTCATTAAATGTACATAAACCTGTTATTACATTACATGAGCACTGTCTTTCTTACCTGTGTCACACCAGTCACTGAAGAAGCTGAACCATGCGAATGTGGTGAAGCTGAAGGAGGTCATCAGAGAGAACGATCACCTCTACTTTGTCTTTGAGTACATGAAGGAGAACCTCTACCAGCTTATGAAGGATAGGTAAGAAGTGAAATATCGCACTTTTTGATGCAACACAGTGGTCTACATTTATATCATTACCACAGCACATAGTTTCCATTTGTCAGTATCTGGCCAGGAGCTTTCCCATTGGGTCACAGGCCTGTCGTGGCCAATTTGCCAACAAAAGCACACACTGATAAGGATAGGATTCAATGGTTTCAGTCAACTATTTTATATATCTGATACCACATTATGCCCTCAAAAGTTTGCACTTACAAGGCTTCCCCTTATACAGTGCTGCCAGCAGACTAACACCTTCTCTTGGAGAAGCCCTTGTGTTTTTTGCTAGTTTGGAAACCCCAGGTGTGCATTCTGCATGTATACACATGGATTTGTTGTCTGTGAAAAGCAAAAAGCAGACCAATCATTGAAGCCACTGATGTTTTACAGCTCATTAGTTTAGTAGTTAAATGTGTTTTTTTTTTTTCTTTTTTTTTCTTTTCATGTATGCTTTATTTTTTAGCATATTTGTCCAGATTAGAATACAAACAGTATGCTGTTTATGTAATGATGCTTCCACTAGCAGGTTCATGAGGATTCTATCAATTTTTATGTTTACAGAAAAAAGTTGTTCCCTGAGTCAGTGATAAGAAACATAAGCTTTCAGATATTACAAGGCCTGTCCTTTATTCACAAACATGGTAGGTGTACCGTGTTCTCTTCATGGCTTACAAATGCATGAGAGTGGTTGCATAATGCAAGATTCAACAAGAGTCAAAATAATGAGAGAACTTTAAACCTATAACATTTGGAATATTTCAACCAAAATCCTGAATCAGCAAAGTGGTGGTTAATTGATCAGAATCTTGTAGTTTGTGAACCCTCCACAACTGTCTCATGTAACTTTTTGGTCTGCATTTCTATAAGTAATGAATGTTTGGATACCTTGTATGTTGGGTTGCAAGTTTTCAAAATCTTACTGAAACTTATTTGTACAAACATGTGCCATACATACCCATGCTTCCACACATCCGATAGAAGTGCATGCAACTTTTCTTCCCTTTAACTTTTAACTGCTTTTAACTGCTTTTCTTCAATTTATCATTTATCCCTATTTCCTTTCTTTTTCTGTCTCTTTGGTCTGCCAATTAGAGAGAATAAGATGTTCTCAGAGAATGAAATTAGGAACATCATGTTTCAAGTGCTATCTGGGTTGGCTTTTGTACATAAGCATGGTAAGAGGCTTTACTCTGTCTATCAAGTTGAATTCCTTGTCGAAAAAGTAGCTTGGCCTTTAGTGTGGGTGGTGTGTTTTGATATTGTAAAAAGTCAGTGTGAACCTCAGATAGACCAATAATAGTGTATATTGCATGTGCAAATATGCTTGTTTTATTGTTTATAGCGTGGTAATGCATTAGGTTAGATATACTGTATTTTATAGAGATATAATATACAAATATATTTGTTTATGACATCAAATATTGTAGCTCCTTGAGGTCTACTTGATTCATCAAGAGTAATTTACTTTAATTTTACTTAAAAGAATGATGGGCTTGAACTCCCAGGTCTCTTCATGAATAGAATTTGGATCATATGACAGTGTTACACATCTATCTACAATTCACCTTCATATGCAACTATTTTGCATTGGCAAAATAGATTTTTATAATGTCACCTGGACTATCTTTTTCTTAAAAGTATCACAAATAAAGTTATTATCTAGTGTACCTCCAAAATGCACTGTCAGTGTGTGACAGCTGAAGTACTGTACATTCAAGGTTTGTCATCTAAAATAACTGGGTTAAGGTTAGGCTAAGGTTAAAGAAGCAATGTGGCCCTGGCTGTAAATAATGAAAATGTTGTTGTGAAATACTTACGCAGTGAATACACAGGCCTTCAAACCTGTTGCTGTTCCAGGCAAAGGCAAATATGAACCCATTCACCGGCTCCTCAGTTTTTTGTGCAGTTCTGTCTGAAATTTGTACAGCATTTGCACTAAATGTAAAATGCTATGGCACAGTAATTGTGTATTATTGCAATTTGAGTTCAACGACTAAAAGCTTGATATTAACTGTTGTACAGGTTTCTTTCATCGAGACATGAAGCCAGAGAATCTGCTGTGCATGGGTCCAGAACTGGTCAAAATAGCAGACTTTGGACTGGCCAGAGAGATTCGCTCCAAACCTCCTTACACAGATTATGTGTCAACCAGATGGTGAGAGGAGTTTCTAGACATCAATAGCCATCAAAAATGAAAAGGAATGCCTATGCTTCAATTACATCCTTGTAAAATTCACATTGTAATATGCTTTTATGGTCATTGGGCCATAGAGCTTGAGTTTTTGTTTATTTAAGTACTGTATTGTATTTTCTCTTTCAAGGTATCGAGCTCCAGAGGTCTTGCTCAGGTCATCGACCTACAGCTCTCCGATTGACCTGTGGGCTGTGGGCTGCATTATGGCTGAACTCTACACACTCAGACCTCTTTTCCCCGGGAACAGTGAAGTGGATGAGATCTTTAAGATCTGCCAAGTCCTGGGCACTGTCAAAAAAGTGAGAAGAAACTGAATGGAGAGGTGGAAATACTTGACTTTAGTCAGGTTTTTAATCATTAATGATTTTCTCAATGACAGGAATAAATATATATTTAGAGTAAATGTGTTGATCAGAAAAAGTGCATAAGTAGGCTAGAAGCAGTGTTCCTCTCTCTGTGGTATAAAGCAACTTAAGCATACTCCATGCTCAACAGGGTGCCACTTCATTTCAAAGGCTTTCCCCAAATCCATCACTATTAACTCTGATTGCAAAGCAGAAATCCTTTAGAGCCTTTTTTTGGTATGACCAGGTACTTTACATTGGTCATGGGTGCATGGGCTTTGAGGCTCTGGGTTTATTTTTGTATAAGAGAGGTCTAATGTAGGGTTATACATTTTTATGATGCTTTTCATAATTACATCAGAGCCTCTTTCATCAAATTAGTTGTTGGTGCTGAACAGATGTGTTAAGGGGGTGTTGGATTAATTATTAGGGCCCGAGCACTGACAAGCGGTGAGGTGCAAGGACCCTCGAGCATTGACTAGTGGTGCGATGCGAGGACCCTATTGTAATTCGTTTGTTTATTATTATTCCTGAAAGAAAATTGCATTTTTAAGAACTTTCCCATGCTCAAAAACTCATGAAACTTTGCACATGCGTCAGGTCTGGTGTAAATTTCAATATTTTATAGGTCTCCCCCATGGGCGTGGGCAAAATGGCTGAATAGCACCACCTAGTAATTTTTAAAAATTTAGCCCCCGCTCTGTGTTTCACCTACATACACGAAAATCGGTAGTCACACGCGTCATGCCAAGCCTCACAAAAAAACTCTCATGGACCCATACCCTAAACCAAACAGGCAGTGAGTGTTTCTGTGCAAATCAGGACCTGTTGTATTTCATGTTAAATGACAGAATAAAAGGACCTAACATTATGCAGATCCATACAGTCAGGATATGCCAGAATAATAATATGTAGAATCCCTATGGCCCCTGACTTTGCAGATTAAATTAATTTTCTTCTAAGGAGTAAGAGTTGTAGCAGAGAGTAACAGTTAATGGAGAATCCGATTGACAGTTTGCATGGACATTGACTGTATCGTGGTCTTGTGCAGAAAGTTAATGTGCAATTTTTGTACCGTTTTTGCAATTTGGAGGTCACGTACTTTAACGAACTCCTACTAGGGAATTCATCTGATCAACATGATGATCGGTGACTCTCATCTCAAGACCTTTATGAAGTTAAATTGCGTAGCTTTTGAGTTTTTGTTGGAGGACCCACCTGCAGCGGAAGTGGAGGAAGTGGCTTTATGTCCATGACATAATGTCCAATTTCATTGATGGTTTATCCTCATCTTCTGACCGGTGCAATGCTACACCTAAGAGCTTTTGAGTTTTTGTCAAAGGACACACCCGTTGCGGTGTTGCGAAAATTGAACTCACTCTCATTCCAAGACACATGTTCCAAACTGCCCCCAAACCTTATAGGTTTGACAAGAGACCCACCCTGAACACATCTACATGCTCATATTTGGTAATATACATAGCGCCACCTCATGGTAATATGCAGAATTTTGAAAAAGGAAGTGGTTATAACTCATAACATACTTTTCCCAATCTTCTCCAGAAGTGGTCACAGTATGCTGTACACCTAGATGATGCCTACCTGTTAAAATTGTGAGTTTCCGCTGAAAGGTGTGGAATCCATAGTATATTACATTTTGAAGTGTGATGTCCTCTGATCTGGCTGGGCTTTTACACACGCGTGCTTGTTGCATGGTCTCTGCCTCCACCAGTTGGACGTATTTTAGTCTCACATTGTAGACATCTACATAGTAATATTAATAGTCACAGCGCCACCTACTGGAAACGGGACTTCATTCTTGTGTGACAATTATTTAACTTACATGACATTTTCATTCTAAGGTATGACACAGACCCTCATGTGTGCCTATTGCGTGGTCTCTGGCTCCACCAAGTACACACAATTAAGAATGCATAAAAAATGCTTTAAACCTTTTCTGCTGCTGCACGGTCTGTGCAATAAGTCTTGGCCCATGAGCGCGGTGTCCGGCAGTCATGTGCGACCGCTTCAAATGGTGCGCTGTGAGCCCCCCCCCCCCCCGAGGTGCACAGGAGTGCAAGTTCATCGCTGCTTGCAGCTTTAATTCTGTATTATTATACATGATTTACATGCAGGAGGCGTTTGTCATGTACTATTAAAGGGCAAAATGACACAAAAATATTCAATCTAGACATGCAATATGGTCCATGAACTTTCACACCACCCACCATTTAATAAATTTGATTGACATGTTCTACAGTGCAGAATAAGTTGTTTGTTTTATTGAAACAATGATTGCCTATAGTCCCATATGCTCATGTAACCATGCAAATGATACATGTGCCTTTTTAAAACTTTCAAAAAGTAATATAAAACATTTTCAAGACTGAATTATAAACACTGGCAAAACAAAATATACTGTGTCAATCTCTATTTCAATCTGATTAATGAATATGATAATATGTAATCATCTGATTTTCTCATCCATTAGATGGATTGGCCAGAGGGCTACCAACTAGCTTCTGCTATGAACTTTCGCTTCCCACAGTGTGTGCCGACCCACCTAAAGACGCTGATCCCAAATGCTAGCAACGAGGCTATCGCCCTGATGAAGGACCTGCTGCAGTGGGACCCCAAAAAAAGACCCACTGCCATACTGGTAGGCAAGACTGAGCCTCAAAGTCTGGATATGACAGTCAAGGCTTTATTTGTCATGTCTGTCCAATGTAAATGCCCTTTATTGGGAGTGGAAGTATTCTATATTTTAAGTATATTAACATGTAACAGTCAATGTCAAGCTTACAAAAAATGCTTAGGCACTATATCTTATCATTCCTTATAACCAGCCACTGTGATAATTTATAAACTTGTGCTTGTGAAGATAACTTTCAATTATCTTTTTAAAACATAGTATACCTGTCCTCAGAATGAATTTTCATTACAGTGCAGCATTCACCACTGTATGAAGATGCAAAAACCCCTGTGTGTGTGTGCTCCATGTCACGTATAGCGACTATGCATATGATACTAAACACGTGATGGTTACATAAGTCCCTTTTAAACTGAGATCCTGCTATGTTGCTGTTAAGAAAACCCTCCATTGTGTCAGCTTTGCTTGTTTACACTGAGTCAAACAAAGCCAGCATAATGTCGCCCCTATGTGTGATTTTTAGAAGGCATGCCAGCATTTGCATAACGCAACAGCACCGGTGTCTGTCCCGCAATACCGGCTACCTCTTTTACACAGACATAGATCTGGCTTTTGCTGGCTTAAAGGTTGAACAACATGTCGACCTTGAGTAGGAAACCTTTCCAGAGCTGACAATGCTTTTCCATTCTCCTCATACAAAGCTCCCAGGTGTAGGGTGCACATCTAATTTTAGCATTTTCTTGCTTCTTGTCAAACGTAGAAGGTAAACATACATTATATAGTAATGAAATAACTGCACTGCTTATTAGTCATTATAACATGCTCCTGCAACTGGTTTCAAGTTATTATATTCGTTTTGTGTCTATCAGGATGGCATGTGCATTAAACCTCCCTGCAGGTTTGAGCCTAAAAAATTACACAATGGTTTGATTCATATTGTTTGTATGTACAGGATTTCAATACATCTTTGTGTTATGGAGTTTATAAAAGCTTTATAACAATTGTCACAGAATATTTGGAATAACAGAATAGCAATCTGTATTCCTTTCTCTCTGGCTAGGCCCTGCGTTACCCGTACTTCCAGGTAGGCCAAGTACTGGGGCCTCGTCCTCAAAGCCAGGAGGTCAAGAAAGTCCAAGCTAGGTCCGTGGCCCAGAAGCAGTTCTCAGAGCCCAGGACTGATCCCCAGCAGTTTTCCTCTGATTCCAAAGCCTCCACACCCTCATTGAGAAATCATCAGCAGCAGCTGCAGCATCATCATCAGCCTTTTCAGCAGATCCCCCTGCCCCAAGCTGAGAGTAAACCAGGAGGTGTCAGCCATGCAGTGAGTGTTTCTGTGCAAATCAGGACCTGTTGTATTTCATGTTAAATGACAGAATAAAAGGACCTAACATTATGCAGATCCATACAGTCAGGATATGCCAGAATAATAATATGTAGAATCCCTATGGCCCCTGACTTTGCAGATTAGATTTATTTTCTTCTAAGGAGTAAGAGTTGTAGCAGAGAGTTACAGTAAATGGAGAATCCGATTGTGACAGTTTGCATGGACATTGACTGTATCGTGGTCTTGTGCAGAAAGCAGCATTGCTGGGCAGCGAGAACAATGTTGGTGGCGGTTCAATGGGGATACTGAAGAGCAGTCGTCGTCGCTGGGGCCAGACAGTGGCCAAGACCTCAGATAGCTGGGAGGAATCCGACCATTCAGAACCCACCGCTTCCAACTCCAAGAAACCTAGCCTGGGAAACGCAGAGGAGGAGAGAAGCCCTAAGGAACACCACTCACAGTAAGTGCTGTAAAGGACCAGTGGGTAGGATTTAGGGGGATCTATTGCCAGAAATAGAATATAATATTCATATCTATGTTTTCATTAGTGTTTAATGACCTGAAACAAAGAATTGTTGTGTTTTCGTTAGCTTAGAATGAGCCCTTCATATCTACATAGGCAGCGGGTCCTCTTCAGAGCATGTCATGTTGCAACTGCATGTTTCTACAGTAGCCCAGAACGAGCGAGCCAAACACTGGCTCTGCAGCGGGCCTTTCATGTTTTTATGCTACCTGAGGGCCACCGAAGGTTCTCATATGCTTTTAAAGGGAGGGGTGAGGGGAGTGGTATTCAGTTGGTGCCACCAGATCCTACACATTTTCCTTTAACAAAACTGGATTGGCAATTTCACATTGTTAGATTTCTGTTTCATGCATAATGCATTATTTGAATTGGTAATTGTTTATCTGATTTTAAAGCATTCTATCATTATCATATAATTATCATATCAAAGTTTACTATATGTATATGCAATATATTTGGCCCTATCTAAATTATTTAATACATTTTAAACCCATTACACAGATAGGAGTAAGACTAGCATTCAAGACTTATTGTGATTTGTGATTAAAAAAACAAGGTCCATTTTGGACACAGACCTTTTAAGTGTCTGGTTTCTGTTTTCAGGCCCAAGGAGCAGAAACCTCTGTATACCTTCAGCACAGTCACCAAGCTACCCAACAATGTTAAGACGGGCCAGATAGACCAAAATCTTCCAGGATCTGCTGCACGGCAGCACTATCTCAGCCAGTCACGGTACTTGCCTGGTAAGACAACATGCAAGCCAATCAAGTCATTTTTATCAAATAAGTGCAATTTTGTTTTATGGCAAAAAAATGCATTTATAAGGCTTGTTTTTATGCCTCCATGCTGGATGCAGCCAGGGCCGGAGGCATTATGTTTTTGGGTAATATGTCTGTCCGTCCGATTCTCATGAATGAGATATCTGAGTAATGCCTCAAGGGAATTTCATCTAATTTAGCACAAACATTTACTTGGATTCAAAGTTGGACTGATTAGATTTTGGTGGTCAAAGTTAAAAGTCACGGTCACCTCACGTTCTTGTGAGTGTGATATATCAAGAACGGGAGGGAATTTCATTACGTCTGGCACAAACATTCACTTGGACATGAAAACACAACACATGAATTCATACACTAATTATGACACACTTAAATTCAAATGTCTGATAGGATAAAATGATGAATGATGATGAAGTAATGACATTTTATATCCAAATGCTCCAAACTCAATGTCACTGTGACATCATAATCTGCAAAAATACTTCTGGCCATTATTCAATGCTGTAACTCAGGTACGAGAGATTGTGACTATACTCCTTGTAATTTGGCTGGTTGGCGGAGCCATACAACCATGAGGTGGTCATTTTTTAATTCTTTGAACGGCTTGCCAGCTGTTCTTTCACTCAGATGCCCTCTAATTGTGTGATGAAGGCCCTTGCTGCTATTTTGAGATTTATCTTAGTGACTTACCACACACTAGGGGTAGGCGATATGGCAAAAATATCATATCACAATTTTTTAAAAATAAAATCACGATTTCGATTTTTATGACGATCTTAAATTGGAAAAAGAAAAAACGACAATTTAGATCAAAGAACCTTTCTTAACAGATTTTATTTCAAATAGTCGCAGTTTTGCCTGCATGTGCAAACAACGTAAAGTTTAAGGTAAACAACAACAACATTCTGGTTCGTCGTGTTACCACCCGACGTGCGAACGGTTTCTGTGGAAACTTTGAAAATTGCATTTGCTTGCGCTTGATCAGTTGCAGAAAATCCAAACCAATTCCATATAATGGAGGTGGAATTTTTTTTAGCGACCAATTCAGTTTGGCTTTCAGCCATCACTCTCCATGTGCTACCGCTACACACACAAACAAGGAGGCGGGTAGGAAAGTGCGTCACTGCCCATAATTCGCTATGATTGGTCGGTCAGGTTTACGACGTCAATACGTCTGGTGCGTCGGTGCATCAGCATAGAACTGCAATTTAAAGAATGTTCCCTAGACGATCCCACGATCTCTGCAGTTTGATAGATCGTCTTCACGTTGTAATCCTTCACGATCTAATATCGTCACATCGCCCACCCCTACCACACACCCTACACATCGTCCTCATATCAAGTAAAAACAATGAAGCGTTGTTGCATTTACATGGGGTCAAAAGAGTCAATCTGTTTCATTAGGCACCGCAAGGCAGTTTTAGTATTTGTACTCTTGATTTTTTTCATCACATTATTTCTGTTGCTTTAAGGGTTAATTGGAAAAAATCAGACTTCCTCTGGAGGTAAGGAGCTGAGTGGTATGACGCTGCGGGATCTGTGGGAGAACTCCTCAAACACTGTAAACAAACCACTTGCTCCTATTGGTGGAGGATTATCTGTCACCAGAACTAATGCTGGTAAGCACTGCTGATGCCTAATGTAGAGGTGTTTGATGGAGTGTGCAGTGGAGAGGTCTTGAGGTTCAGGAGTTCACAAACATGTTAAAGAAATCAAAGACAATCTATAACTATATAACTATAGCTAACACATTATGTTTGACAACAAAATTACAATAAACCCAGTTCTTCAGTGAATTAAATAATGACTACATGGTGACTTGTGTAAACCTGGCAACTGTCAGTGTCATCTACTGTTACATAACAGGAGGCTGTCTTCTTTTCAACACAAAAGCTCTAAATGATAATGATGCAGCTAATGTCTCCTGATCAGTAGTTACGGGGCCATGGACAAAGCAGTGTTAGGAGTTAGCCTAAGTGTCTGCGAATTTAGAGATGGGAGACCTCTAAAGATCATTTGTCATGTAGACAGACACACAATATGGCTCCCTGCTGTGCTCCCTGCTTCCCTTTCTGCTTCTGTGTCTTTCTTTCACCTTGTCTCTCCCTCCCTATGGCTTATTCATGAGATTAAGACTGTCAGTATAAGATCAAGTGTTTAAATGTTCCTCAACTGCACCCCCTGCTCATTTGTCCCATCCCACATCATTTACACACGCACACGCACACGCACACGCACACACACACACACACACACACACACACACACACACACACACCCCAATGTTTATTTTGATTTTACTCACCTATTACTCATGAATATAGTTTTTCATTCATCAAGAAATATTTAGCCAAGATGCAACTTCATTTGTGCTAACCTGATATTTGTTTTCTTGTCTTCTCATCCAATTCTATTTTTTTTCTCCTTCTTTTTCTCTGATTGCATGCTCTGATTCAACTTTTTAGCTGTGAGAGTAGAAGAGAATACCTCTAAGTCTGTGGATAACCCACCAGAGAAAACTGTTGTTAAAGAAAGAATACTGGAGAAAATTGATCTCTCCAAAGGTACTTAATTGAAATCACTCCATGTGAACTGTTTTGCTGTGTTTTACACATGAAAGCAATGGTATAGATTTAGATATCTGATACCTCTTGAGGCTTCCTGAAATCTCTTTTGTGTAAAAAACTTGTTAGCTGTCGTAAGAATAGATATGAGCCTAAAATGAGATAAACTAACAACCAGCATGGCGGCTGATGCAACGAGCTTCAGGTATTCAGCCATCGACTTAACATGTGAAAGGAGCCGGCTGCTAAAGGCTCTGCAGGAGACAAGGTTGTAAATACACAGTTTAACCTGAGAATTAAGAACTCCATTTGCTAAATAGATGGTACATTGCACTACAACCACAACACCTTCACCATCTGTGACTGCTGGTGAATCAGATCGATGGTGTCACATGAGAAGTTGAATGACTTGAATCACTTGGCCTTATTCATCTGTTTGGGTCCTTTGTAGTTTTTGCATATGCAGTAGCTACTTCACACATAATCACACAAATTATTAACAATATCAGTGTGTGTGAGACCATCTATTAGATTTTCATTTGTATGTTTTTGTGTTTTTCAATGATACACATTATTTTAACTTATGTTAAGTTGACTGGAAGCCCATGCTTGGTAGGTACCAGAAGGGTGTCACAACAAAATACCCCAAAAAATACAGACCTGTGCGCTATGTCATTCTTCTTTTATAGGGAACTTTGTAAGCACCAAGTACAACCTCTCTGGTGGTTACATCCCATCATTCCAAAAGAAAGAGGTGGGCTCAGTGGGGCAGAGGATCCAGCTTGCTCCTTTGGCTGGGCAGCACACAAGTAAGGAATTAATTCATTTATGAAAAGCCAACAAAATTATTCTAGATACATTATCTCAGAGCAGCTTGAATTTTCAGTTATCTGGCTAAAGTCAATACAATTCCCCTCCTATCTGGAACAAAAGGTTGCACTGCTCCTCAAATCGTACTCTTAAGAGAATACTTTCTGTAGTCTGTAAACATAACTGCTCCCTGCATGATTGTCCTGTTCTTGACCATTGTGCCTTTTCTGTATTCAGTTTCCACTTTCTCAATTGCAGTATCTACATTTTCATTCACTGTTACTACTTTCTCCTCTTTCTTAACTCTTTCAGTCAATCTTTCTTCTTCTCCTGATAATAAAAAAGACAAACCAAAAGCTGCAAAGCCCAAGCCCATATCCAACTCATCTTTGAGTGAAACCAATGAAGGTATTTTAATTGTCTCATGTAGGTTTTTTGTGTTGTTATTTTATGGTCTTAGCTTTAATCGTTGTTGACATTTTAGAAGGGAAAAAAGCTGTCCTTCATTGTTTACTATTGCATTGAATATATGAACGAAGACAGACCTGGTATACTGTACATATTGGTGACAGACAAACTGACCAACTGGCATGTTCCTCCAGATTACGAAGGCTGGAAGAGGAGGAGAGATGGGACTCAGATGAAGGGGAGCTACTCGGCTCTGGGGAAAGCCTCTGGGAATCTCCTGACCAGAGCTCCCACCATACAGCCCGTCCACGGCAGGGTGGACTGGACGTCCAAGTATGGTGGAAATCGGTAGTTCACTGAAAAAGGCCCAACAACTTCTGCTTGTTGGGCACGGTTCTCATAGATACACAACTTTGGCTGGAAAAATTAATCCTGAGCAGACCGCATTTAAACTCAAATCTGGAGGAAATATATTAATGCTGTATTTTTCCTGAGACAAACTACATCGACTACACATTTATACTGAGAAATTTCTCATAATGTTTATGCATGTAAGACCACCTTTACATGTGCATGGAATCTCTGTTTTGGAGATTAAGGATGCCATGATGCTAAACCAACTCTGTCTGCAAGACAATCCCACTGTATTCCTGAAGGATGCCGTGTGAGCCAATTCTACTGTTAGTGTTATACTGTTTGAATACTCTGAGTAGAATTTAAATGTAGCATAGCTTCTTTTTTAAACTCTAGTTTAGTTTTATTGTCAAATATTGTTTCACTACCCATTCGCAAAACAATAACAGCCTTTTATCAGCTGTTCCTGCTCTGCTGCATTCTCTCTGCTTTCTTCCACCATAGTGTAGGTGACTGATACAAACATCTTCAATGTAATGGCTACAGGAAGGATTACATCAACTCTCTCTGAATATTGTAAAGCAACTGCAAATATCTTTGTGTTATACAATGCATAAACTGAACATTTTGTAAAAATTTTATACAAATAAATATTGAGTTTCACAGTGGATTCATTCAAGAAAGGACAAGACAGCTGTTCCTATTATATAAGCGTACTATATTTCAGCCTCATACTTTCAAAAATGACATTAATGTTCAACAGTAAATGACAAGTTGACGGGTTGCTCTTCAAACAGAAGATACGATACACATCAAAATCTTCACTCCATCAGGACTTGTGGGGTTTCTGGAGCAATGCCACACCAAGCTTCCCTATCATCAGGAGACTGGAACAAGATAACAGACTTACACAGTGCTGGAAGTTGTATCACCAACAAAACAGGTACTTCCTTTTTTGGTGGTGATACAACTTCCAGCGCTGTATCACCACCAAAAAAGGAAGTATTCAGACCCCTTAAATTTTTTCACATTTTGTTATGTTGCAGCATTAGGCTAAAATTGTTTAAATAAAATTTCCCTTCATCAATCTACACACAATATCCAATAATGACAAAGTGAAACTAAATTTTTGAATTTTCTTTAGCAAATTTACAAAAAGAAAAAACTTAAATACCACATTGACATAAGTATTCAGACACTTTGCATGGCACTTGAAATTTAGCTCAGGTGCCAACCATTTCTCTTGATTTAAAATGTTTCTACCTTGATTGGAGTCCACATGTGTTAAAAGGAACAACCTGTGGTAAATTCAATTGACTGGGCATGATTTGAAAAGGCACACACCTGTCTATATAAGGGTTCACAGCTGACAATGTATGTCAGAGCAAAAACCAAGCCATGAGGAATAAGGGACTGCCTGCAAAGCTCAGAGACAGGCCTGTGTCTGTCAATAGGCTGCAACATAACAAAATGTGAGAAAAGTGAATGGATGTGAATACTTTCTGAATGTGCTATATTTGCTTCCAAAGAGCTAACATCCTGTTAGTCATCCATCATTAAGATCATTGTTACATCACCCAGAATACAGTATGTTCCGCATGCAACATCACTTCAGTCATATGAACAATACCTTGCTCCAGCCATCAAACCAGCTGGCATGAACTTCCTGGATCCATAGAACCTCTTTCCCATTACACCAGTTAGAGCTCCTGATGTAGCTGGAAGACAGCATGTGACATATTGGTGAATGTTGGAAAATGAAGGATGGATTATGACCATCACAAAACACTGACACTCTTATTCAGAAACTCTTTATCCCATTTACACACACACACAGAAAACAAAGTACCAACCGAGGGACACCCAAACATTATTGGGGTCATTGGAGATCTGGTAGGCACCAAAACCTGCAAGGCCCCCGAAGAGCAAACCAGCAGCCAGGGACGGGACGCTGCCTGAAAGAAACAACACACAGCAGGTTAACACCTGCACTTGACATCCACAGCACTGAGGAGTATGTATAAACAGGTGTGTAAATTTTATATAGCAAACAAATATAATTTAAATGGGCAGGGCAAATTTTCATCCAACAAGACTGAGTTTATCATCCTAATTTTACTTAGAAAACTAATAAATATATTTGCCGCCAGAGATTAGGAAAAGCAGGTTTAACTTTAAACTTACACAGCAGTTTCCCATTTAACACAACACATACCTGCTTTCACGTAACCAATAACTCCGCCAGATGCGATTAGGGCTGCGTATCCATATCCTACCCAATCCACAGACATGTTGGACACCTGTCAGGGCCACAGCGTGTGAATGATTGAACTAACACACTTAAGCTACTGCACCGAAACCGCTGAATTCCGACGGCTTCCTGTTGGTCAATCTAATATTACTGACAGAGCATAGAGTGTGTACAAAGTCACAGGCTAAATACCTAAAAGGACTGTCTTAGTGCTGTTATAGAAAAGTAGCTGAGCCAATAGGAGAATCGAGAAATTTTCCCGCTGACACTCAGCAGCACTCGACTGTTTCTGATCAGGAATCGTTACATTGTGGCCCCACAGAGAGTGTGTGTCTGTCTGCTTTAGTAGATAAGATGAACTTCTTTACAGAGCCTTGGCAATGAGCGCCACAAGCATGAACTAGCATCACTATTGTTACAGCACACGCAGGGCTTACATGAAATGTTACAGAATATAAACTGCTGAATCCACTGGAATAATAAAATCAAGGACTATACGTCATTGTTTGTATAAAAGTTAGAGCTTTAGACAACTTAGAATGACAAATATGAAACTCAACACAAATAGAGCTACATACGACCTTGCTCTTGCTGCTTCTCCTCTGTCACTAGGAACGACAGCCTGATCTCCGCCGAGCACAAATGAGTGGTGCACATTTCATACGGCCGGATGCCCGATGGGAAATGTAGGCCCTTGTTCCCGAGAGGCGGAGTTTCTAATCCCAGTCAACACATATTATATTTTATATATATGTACAGACACATACACACACACACACACACAAACACACACACACACACACACACACACACACACACACGTATATATATATATATAGCCCAATACATAATATGTATAATAATACCCCATAGAATATGTATAGGCTATATAGTCTAGCCTATAATTTATTATAGAGTTTTATACGTCTTTATGTTCATCTTTGCTGAGAGAAAATAACAGGAGCAATTGAGAGTAGTAATAGACAGTGTGGTGTAGGCCTGTGCAGCCTAAGATTAATGATGAATGACTGACATACTGACGATTTTTTATATGTAATTTAACACTGTCTCCTCCTAAGACTAACCAGGTGACAGTGTCCCTGAGAAAAGCTTCCCCATCTTTCCCCACAATGTCGTGCGTTATACCACACACCACCACTTGAAAAGAAACATCCAATAATCCTCATTCATGAGGACTGTTGTTGATTCATATTCTCTAATAAAATATTCCGTAGGAGTGGAATAGAGGGGAGCCCTATTTATAAAAAAGGCAGTCTTGCCACCTTATGTGCCAACTTTTGAATGTAAAGAGGCCTCAGTTTACTGAGAACTCCTAGCACAACTTCAAAGACCGGTAACAGGCCTCCGCCACAGAACGGGAATTGGCTTTATTATGTTCGACCACAAGATGGCACTCCAGGATTAGATTATGCTGTGTTTAAACACATACCCCCAACATCCCCAAGCCTTCACTTGATTTGATTTTTTTTCCCCCCTCTTTTCTTTTCTTTTTTTTCTTTTCTTTTCTTTCTTTTCTTTCTTTTTTTTGTCCTCAGTGCCTTCCAAATGTATTTTATTTTACACTCAGATAAATTGTCTGCACAGAAGCAGGACTGGAGCCGTGTTGGGTCATCAGACTGCCATGTAGCCTAAATGTGCAGGTTTAGTCTTAGAAGTGTGTTTAAGGGTCAAGAGGGATAGGTGGATGAGAGTCAACAAGAGGTCTTCACCAAACCCAATATCACAGTCTATTGAAGTTTTGGTGAAATTATAAACATTTCTGACATTTTTCTGAATTCTGACCGTATTTTCGACCATATTTTACATTTCACTTATTTTGAAAATGTGCCTTTTGATCACCTGCTTATTTGCTTGGCATCCTTTTGGCAGTTTCACTCTATGGAGCTGTGCACACATTCCTCGTGTCCTCGCTCTCCTCTCGAAGAAAGATGGCGCTAGAACACAATTTATTTTTTCTCTGAGCAGCAGCGTTTCAAACCTCACTCATCATTCACCAAATTCAACAATTTTTACGAGGCCACATGGGACTCTTGCACCTTGAGAGCCGGTGACGGGATAGTTCGTCAGTAGCCGGGCACATCTAGCGGGAGCCGGTCTGCAGCCAAAAAGATCTTTGTTGCAAATCAAACTGGGAATCTTTTTTAAGATGATATTCCAACTTCTTCTCCATAAATTGGGGCTAAGGAATTAGTGCCATCACCGATCAATATTTGAAAACTACAAGAGATGGAGCAGAGACTGTGAGGAGAAATATTCATTTTTGGCAACGCAAAGGACGCATGTATTACGAGCGAAGATGTGCTTGTGTCTCAGCAATTTTACATTTTTGAATAAGATGCGGACCAACCAGTACCAGAAACAAGCTTCCATCAATAAAAAAAAACTACAATAATAACGACAATAATAATAATAATACATCTGTGTAATTTGTTTAAATGTGAATGGCTGTACAAGGTGTCTGGTGCAACCGTTGCGACGCCTATTAAAGGCAGCTAGCAGTTGTGGGAAGCTGAACGATGCCGGAGGCCCGGTGCCACGGTGGAAGTGGTTGAAACCAAGCCCAAGACAAACAGGCTGGATATTCAAAAAGGACCCGCTCTTGTCTGACACTAACCCACTCTTCGACAGCTCTGCTTTAAAACTTACTCCTCCCTAAGTGCGCAGAGCCCCAAACAATATGTCTGATCCCCCACCACTACCACCTCCCTTTCCTTTTGTCCAGGCCTGGTAGCTGCAGGTACTGTCTGTGCAGTTAAAATGTGTTCACCTTTGAAGTCAAACATGAAGGCTCGTTTTAAACATTAACACCACAAAAATCTATAGATACTGTGTGGAATTATGTATTTAGGGGAAAAGAAACTAAACTAGTATAAAGGAAAATAAAAACGGAAAATAAAAAAAATTGAGAGTATTTTTCTGTAAAAAGTTTGTCCAGTATTCCCAGAGCATGCATGAAATATGTTTAATCTCAATGTCTAAAGTAGTGAGAGAAGCGTTCATCTGCCAGAGACCTGCACCGCAACTCTGTACGCCCCGCTTGCAGCCAGCCTGCATATGAGTCTCCCCTCACAAACTTGAAAGAAGAGAGAAGGGTTTTTTGGACTAAAGCTCAGACCATTATCACCTATGTGAGCGCATGTTGCACTCGTCTGGGTGTGTGCGTGTGTAAGAGACAGAGAGAGGGAAAGCTCATTCGCTCTTGGCCTGAGGGGTCTACGTAAGTATGTATTAGAAATAAACAGTGGATAAATAAATAATGACCCTCACAAAAGCATGGTAGCTTTCTGTGCACAAGTAATGATGTTGGCAGTTAACCTTCAAGTTTTTAACTTGTCACAGTTTCATTTGCAGTGAGATTCCAGTATTTTCTATCAAGAAGAAGGTTAATTGGCGTATAGAATTAACAGATATTTTTATTTTCATGTCAGGTGAAGACAAAACATAACCTACATAATTTAGTATATTTTACTTTGTTTCATGCTCTTTAATTTGCAGATAGTTTCAGCATATTTTCTAAAAAAAAAAGTAATCTTTATTAATTATTTTTAACCAGGAATTAAGTGTGTAAACCCACTTTTCATGTGAACACTTTCACACTTTGCTCACTTTCTATAAACGAAATGAATCTTTAATGTAAATTCACCTCATGCAAAGAAGTCACTCTATAAAATATGGATTTTATGTGGAGAAAGTGTAAATTAACACATAGCCTATAATTAGTGATTTTTATTAGAGGCTGTGGTTAGTACGTGATGTGATTATATCACTTACATCAAGTAATTTATAAGATTTTTAGTTCGTTATTTTATTTTATTTATTTTAATAAAACGTATTTAGTGTAAAGTGGAGATCAAAGTATGACAGACCTATGTCGCACACAGATAAATAGGCCATTTCACTTTTTCCCATATAGTTTCTCCTTTCTCGTCCACACCCGCAGCAGTGCGCATGCGTCACCAGGTGTCCTCGCACCGTTTTTATGGCCAGGTGAGGCGATCCGGTCCAGATAAAAAGTAAGTTTACTTTGGGACCGAAGGCTCAATGAGATAGACACAGCGACGGATCGACTAAAAACAAAGCACCAAAGGCAACAGAAGACAAAGAATGTCAATTATGGGCAAGATGGGGGAATGGCAGGTATGTGCTGCTTACTTTTAAGACAAAGAGACGGCTGTGAAAATCCATGAAGACTGTCAAAGTGTCGACTAGTTGTGGGATGAGGCTGCACAAGCACCGTAAAATCTTTTGTAGTGAGAGGTGGTACAGGTCTTCTGTGTAGACGAGAGGCTTATAGATTGTATCAGTCAGGAGATCATACAAAGCAGTTAGAGATATTTTATTTTGGAACCCCAAATAGTTCATCTCAATGCTCAGCTATGAAAACCTGAGGATGTTGTTCGTGTTGTGAGCTGTAAGGTTTCCTGCGCATTTCAGACAGACTCTAATATACAGGTGTGCTTTCTTATAAATTACAAATAGGTAGAAACGACATGAGAAGGTATAGTTTTTTATCAAAGTAAGGTATTGACGAAACACAGCCCTTATTCAAAATGGTGTCGTTGACTTTGATGTAAAATGTAACTTTTCATAAAGGTACTTCACATATATTCATAGCTGTTCTAAATTCGGATGTCTTAAATTCATAAATTTTACAACATCCCGTAATGGACTTTCTATTCAGTCTTAGTCTTTAAATCGTCTGTGCTTCATTGAAAACCTGGTCTCGCTTTGTAAGGTGTGTGTGTGTGTGTGTGTCTGTGTGTCTGTGTGTCTCTGTGTGTGTGTGTGTGGGGGGGGGGGGGGGGGGGGGGGGGGGGGGGGGGGTTTAAAAGATGACCTGAGATCTTTGCTGCAACAAAAACACACTTCAGTTTCACTCGTTTAAAAAACGATCACAGGCACAGGCACAGGCCACATTTCTAGACAGACAACCCGCGTGCATAGCTGTCATTGACAGCCAGTTTCATCGCTCCATTATCATTAATGACAACTGCTCGTAAAAAGGCACTCCGCCAAAAATGGTAATCCAGGTTTTAAGCGAGAGGGGCCAACGCCTTAAAGATCTGGCGACCTGTCTCCTGACCCACGACCTGCTGGGGTGAGGGCTTGGCCAGCGACAGGGCAGAGCCAGGTTCCCCCCAGCCACTCATTCAAATGAAATAAGGCCATGTTGTTGTGTTAATTATTTACGTTCCCCCAAACTCAGCGCCCTTACATGTAGTCAATGGACCTGTAGAGCCGCTCCGAATGGCTCACCTTTTTAACATAACATTTAAAGAATAGCCTCTCAAGGTCTCCACTCTCAATGGGATTAAAATAACAGTTTGGGAGATAAAAAAAGGTGTGTGGCAGGGTAGTATTTGCATAGTTTTACTGTTTTCACACCAAGCATTGGAAGACTAATCAATAAGACACTTTGTTTTACAAGAACGAGTCAGTGCACTTCAGCCAAAAAGTTTTTTCATGGAACAGACATCTGCTCCCTTTTGCATATAAATTTAACTTTGTCCTTGAAATAGGATTTCAGGAGTCTCGTGTGCTTTTCTTTAAAAAAGACATGCAAAATGATCGTAGAAACCGTCCCAGGTGCATGCAGGTCCCCATGCATGACAATACCTACCCCTCCCCTAAACAACCACACAACCACACACACCTCACTGAACAGTAGAAATAATAAGCATGTGTAGCGTCTTGCTGTTTTAGTTTTTACCTGTGCGCTGTCCATTGGTGTTGTGTGAGCAGATGGGGGGAATCAAACGGCTGTTGATATGCTAATGAGGCCCTGTGCCAGTGTTATTACAGAGCTGCTCCAGCCCTTTACTTCCACCATTAGAGGGAGACCTCAGAGCGCAAGACAGACAGCAGCCCACAGCTTCAATAAAAGTAGTTTTTCTGAGCGGGGAGCACAATTCACTGAGTGAAAACAAGACTAAGGCGATACCTGTACTCAATATCCACCTCAGCAACCCATGAAAATGCTTTGGAAATTAACTGATAACATTAAATATGAAGATTGCGAGGTAAGGGGCTCCTTTTTGATTTGTCTTATTTAATTAATTTTTTTGTTAAAGTTTACTATTATAATTATTTTAGAAAAGCGTTGTATTGTTTTGGTGCAAAGATGTCATTCTTTTGACAGATAGTGAACACATGTAGTTGAACTTTGGGATGAACAGAGCCATGTCTTTTTTAATAATTTCATAGCTTCTTTTTCGTCTATTTATGTCCAGTGAAATGTAATAATAATAATAATAATAATAATAATAATAATAATAATAATAATAATAATAATAATAATAATAACAACAACAATAATGATAATAAAAGCGTTGTCGCAAGGGGCAGCTGTGTTTAATATATTAGTTGCATGAGTAAATTCCTACCAATGATTTATTTATTTTGTCTTTAAATTCACATTAAAAGAAATCTACAAATATTAAATGACACATGGAGTCATTGAAATAATAATTTACCCTTATCATGCATTTAATTAAAATAGATATTTAGACTAAATTGCAGAAGTAATCACTGACACCGTCTGCTTTATTTATGGCTTAAATATGCATGGACATTTACCCTTCACTTTTAACATCCGTGCAGTTTGAGCCATTAGATTTTTGCATGCAGCTTTATGTACATGTATGTGTGGAGTGCATACACTGAGTTATTGTTGTTCTGGGCAAAGACGAAGTTTGGCAGTAATATCAGGGACTTGTTTTGGAGTGGAGAAGCCAGTCAGACGTGTTTTCACCCGCGTCCTGCGAGGATAGGGACAGCCGAGAGTAGGAAAACAAAAGCTGAGCAACTCCGCGCTCACTGGCAATTGTACCAATTTAGTAGTAAATGTTTTTTCCGCTTGTATCGGTGCAAAAAATAAAATAAAACAAAATGTGCAGTGGAAATTCGGTCACAGCCCGGTGTTTCGTAATTTTAAAATGCGTGATTAAGCAGTGAGGGAGTTGGAGCTGTTTCAGCCGCACTTAAAAGTTGGTTAGAGCGTCGGATCCGGGCGGCCCTACATGACCGACTTTGAGAATTAATTTTTCTCCGTGTTTCCGGGTCAAAATTAAAAGTTAGTCGGTTAGTCTCTGAGTTTGGAGTCGAGGAGGAACCGGTGGCTTAATTCGGCGGTGGCAGAGGAGAGAGAGGAGCCCCCATGGAGGACAGCTCGCTGTCGGAGTCTGGGGTGGAAAACAAAGGCATGAGCGGTAGAAATGAGCCGGACGGAATGCCCATAGCGTTGTCTGCTGGATTTTCACCCAGTTCAGAGGTGCACATTGTTCCCTTGCCTGCCTTCTTCTTTCCCTGTCTGTGGTCCACCTCTCGTCATTCCTGTCTTTCTTTCACTTTTGCGCTTTGGCCCTGGGACCCTTTTAAAATGCCCCCCTCCTTCCTCTCTCTCTGATTCGTCAGACGAGAGTGAATATCCCTCTTTTTGTCTCTCTCTCTCTCTCCACTCCCTCCACACTCTCTCACTCCCTCGTTCTCTCTCCCTCCCTCTCTCTCTCTCTCCATCTCTGATTAGATATACTGATTCCTCCTTTCAATGGACGTCATTTAAGCGCAGACTCCTGCCTTGAGTTGCGTCCTCTGCTTCACACCCGATTTCCGACCATTCTTTCCATATTATTAAGTATTCCTGTAATATTAATAGTCATGAATGCGTTCTATTAGGAATCCAAGAGGGAGACGAAGAAGCGGCTATTTTGCTAATATGAGCTCAAGCGAGGGGACGGCAGCAGTTTGATAGAAGCCAGGAGAGCCAGGAGAAAAGAGGGTTTATCCAGAGAAACTTTTCGACCCAAATCCACCAGCACCGCCGAATATCAGCATTTTTAGACCCAGATGAAGGGCAGCGGGGATCTAACCGTTTCTTTCTGATGGATTATCGTCCTGCTACTGTGGCACATATCTGATCGCCGGGGCCATCGTGATCTTGCAGGAGAGAAGTCTTTTCGGAGGCAAAATATTTTTTTGTTTTGCTGGCTATTCCCTTCGCCCACCCCTCCCCAAAACACTCATAGTGTTTTTGAACTGTTTATTCTTTCGTTGAGTCGCACTAAAATCCTTTCAGATGTTAGTGCACAGTTTTTCCGCGATGGTAAGTTGCTGGAACCTCCCCGTGTCAGATATTTTGAGTTTTGTTTGTACATCAGATTTTGTTAGAATATCTTTTTTTCCCGCTGAATAATGTTTTGCAAAGTTTGCATGCTAAAAACCCGTGGGACATTGTGGAAAATTATGAAATAATGCGAGGCATGGTTATTTGTTTGAGGGCATTTCACCTCCGGAATTTCGATGTTTCATTTTACTATTAACGTCTGGCGATTTATTATCTTGTCATTATATTTACAAAAACTTTGTGGACTTGTAGTTGATGTATGGAATAGGTGTATTTTTGTTTAAATTTAATTTAAAAACAGGACTAATTGTAATAATTATTGTTTCCACACTTGGTCTAATTCCTGTCATCCACTCAGGCCATATTTGATAATGCCCCAAGATCAGACCGCAGACCATCCAGCAGTTGAAACAAAGAGGGACATGCACACATTCATACTGTGTCTTTTTAAAATGTGTTCATACTAAAATACATTTTTCTCTGTCCTCCCTTGTCAGGATCGTCACGACGGCACCAGCAATGGGACAGCCAGGCTACCTCAGCTGGGCAGCGTGGGCCAGAGTCCTTACACGAGCGCCCCTCCGCTCTCCCACACACCGAACTCGGACTTCCAGCCCCCGTACTTCCCCCCACCATACCAGCCCATCTACCCGCAGTCTCAGGACCCTTACTCGCACGTCAACGACCCGTACTCCCTCAACTCCCTGCACGCCCAGCCGCAACCGCAGCACCCGGGCTGGCCGGGCCAGAGGCAGGGTCAGGAGAGCGGCCTGCTGCACCAGCACCGCAGTCTGCCTCACCAGCTGTGCCGGGAGTACCGCAGGGAAGTGCTCCTACCGTCCGGCCACGGCATCGAAACGGGACTGTCGGACTCTATCCCTATCCATGGAATACCTCACTCTTTAGAAGACGTTCAGGTAAGACAGCGTTTACCTGGCTTTCTCTTTTTTGTGGGTTTACATAGTTAAAAAATGAAATAAAAGTGTAATAGTGCTGTCAATATTAATATTATGTGCACTTGGGCACCACTACAAATTTTAATTAATATTATTATAATTAATAATAACAACGGGTTGGTGTTAATTTTATTTTCAATTATTACCATTTGTACAAACACCCTGTCTTTTATAATTACTATTCATGTTAATATTATCTAAGCATTAGAAAAACTTTCTTATTATTGCTGTTGTTTAATAGATGACACGCATTCAATCACTTAGGTTCGGGTGGCTCACTGAAGCTCTTATTACGGCCAGTTTTTTTACTACTTGGAAAATTACCACGAAAAATGTTTTCAGTGTTTTTAAGATTCTTTAAAATATAACAGCACCTTTTTGCATGGTTTATCTTATATTAAAAAATAGAGATTTGACAGCAAATCGTTTTAAAATGCCGTTCGTTGCCAGATTCGTGTGGTTTTGTTCAGCATTATAACTCAAAACAAATTAAATGAAATAGATTTTTTTTTAAAGAAACACAATACACCTGTATTTCCATAGGGGTTTCTTTGTGTCTTGGACTTTATTTGATTTCTCAGTTTAAAAAAAGATTAAGCTGGCCGTTTTTTGGCAACAATACAGTGTGATACATTGCATGCCCACTAACAAGAGAATTGAGTTTGGTGGATTGAGTTTAGGTAACAGCTACGATTACTAAGGTTGCATGATAAATACGCGCTAAAAATGTCAATAACCTTCGTTTTTATTGAGAGTATTCTTCCCGTTTTTAATCAGAAACAAACACCAATAATCCTCTAATTAGTTCATAGGCCTTTAATAGGCTCCACTGCCGTAATTACTATCCAATCTAGATTAGAAGTTTCCTTGTGAGTAGAGCCAATATGAGGGCGAAATTAGGTCAGGATTATGGGGCGACATAGAGTCGTTATTTAAGTCTGAGTTTGTGATCATCATCAGTGTAACCCAACTGAAAACACTCATGGACAATAATAACAGGAATGGGCCTCGAGAGCCTCCATGTTGGATGATTGTGTCAGGCTTTGTTCATCCTGAGGTATATTTACTGACACAGGACTGAGGCTGATATTTTTGTGCCTTTGTGCTAAAATTGTCCATTTTTTTGCATTTGTGTCATAGCCTGTTGAGGATCAAGGAATTCACATTCCCGACCAGACTGTAATTAAAAAAGGTAAGCAGTTTCCTCCGAGATATCATGCATGTTTCTGCAAGCTGCACGCCACTAGGTTGCACACACGTGCGAGGTAGCACACGCGCGCGCGCGCGCGCGCGCGCGCACACACACACACACACACACACACACACACACACACACACACACACACACACACACACACACACACACACACACACACCACGCACCATTTCTGCTGGAGAGAACTCGATGCAATGCGGTAACGCCTGACTGATCCTAATATGCAGTAGCCTATTTTTCATTACATGGTTTCCAAGTGCATCAAACTGGCTGCACCTTTTTTCTCGCTGATGGAATTTACCGTCAGCGTTTCAGAGCAGCGTGGAGATGAGTAGAGCTGGTGGGCTTTGTGGGCCCGTGGTATTGATGGTCAAAGATACAGGCCCTATAGACGATCCTGGCACTTTGGTGGTGAAGGCCAATAGCTCCAATCACGCTGCATGGTCAAATCTAAAATGGAAGTTGGTACCGTTGGATGGAGCACATGCCTGGTGTTTTCAGGATGATAGTCTGTCATTTAGAGAAGGAATCAGAATTCGGCCTGGAAAAATCACTGCTTCTTTAATATCTCCGAATGTAATTTAGGTGTACTTTGATGGAGGCTGATGGTTTATACTGCTTCAATATTTTTTACTTGTTTGCTGTCAAAGATTTCTATGATAATGATACAACACGAAGAGGCCTTTTTCATGGTCAAGTTTAAAAGCGTTTTGTCAGGTCAAATTAGAGCTCACTGGATCAGATATGGAGCGACTTTTCTTTCCTTTTTTGTCTTTAATTCCGTCTTTTTTCCATTCTTCCTTTTTCGAGTCTGTCTATCTACGCATCAACATGATAATTGGCTTCTTATATTAGTAATCTCAAGAGTTCGTTTAACTCCTATTGTCTCTATTAGGCTCCCCTGAGCCATTAATGTCACAAGTGATCTATCCAAAGACGCACAGTCCCCTTTGTTACTGCACACCAAAACGGTGTAAAGCCCAGTAGTGCGGAGCCCCCACCCCCTCAGTGTGAAATCACACACGGGCGACGGTGTTTTGCTCGATACCGAAGATACTGTGTGTCAGAATGGGTGGACTTTACCAAATCTTTCGGTTGAGTCAATAGATGGTGAGGCGATCGCAAAAAATAGGCTGTTTAAGAGGAGCGCACAGCTACTAAAGGTTCTGACTGTCTGCTGCTGAGATCTAGATAGAAAAACACTGGCCGGTATTTTTTAGATAAAGAACAGATGAATGGAAATAGTCTGACTTTTTACGTTTATAGCGAGAACTATGCTGCCTCATAGTCCTGATTCTGATGATTCTATGCACACAAACATTATTATGAGACTATTATTATTATTATTATTATTATTATTATTAGATTTTATTTCTTAGGGCTGTATTAGTCGTTTTTACTGCATGTCCTTGTTGCTGAAAGTGTACACGTGGTGCTAAACTCTAAGTCCGGGGCCTAAATCCCCCCTTCTCATTTAGTTAAGGCTCTGCATTGCATGAAATTCACTGAGCACGGTCTCTCTCTCTCACCCCCACCACCCACCTCCCTCCCTCTCTCCATCCCACCATCCCTATCCTCTCTTTCTCCCCCTCCTCCCCTCCACCCACCCTCTCTCTCTCTCTCTCTCCCTGGCTAGGTCCAGTGTCTTTATCCAAGAACAACAATGTTTCCGCCATCCCCGTAAATAAAGACGGTCTTTTCGGAGGAGTGGTAAACCCCAATGAGGTGTTCTGCTCAGTTCCGGGTCGCCTTTCTCTCCTCAGCTCCACATCAAAGTACAAAGTTACGGTGGCTGAGGTGCAGAGACGCCTCTCGCCGCCAGAATGCCTCAACGCCTCTCTGCTGGGCGGGGTGCTGAGGAGGTGAGTCTGAAACTGGAAGGCTGCAAAAATCTCCTCTCTATATGCCTCTGTGTGTGTTTGTGTCTGTGTGCGTGTGTATGAACTCTCTCACTCTACTCCAATCCATTCTCTCTTTGAGCATGCATTGCTCTCTTTCTCTCTTGCTCTCCCCCTCTCTCTCTCCTCTGTACCAAGAATAATTAAAATCGACCAACCATGACACCTAGCTCCTGCATTTAAAGCAGGAGGGGTCTGTTAAATTCCATATTAACTTCCCTGGCGCACTGGATCCCTCTCTCTCGCTCTTCCTCTCTCTCTCTCTCTCTCTCTCTCTCTCTCTCTCTCTCTCTCTCTCTCTAAATTAATGTAGGCCTAGTCTGTTTCAACCTCAGCTCTATAGGCCCAGTGAAGGCATTACACATGAAAACATTGGTCTCTAGTGAACTGTCTACTGAAGTGCTGCAGACACGCAGCCTGCCTGTTAAGTAGGGTTTTATTTATTCATTTTGTACAGTATTTGTCTGCTAGTGAAAAGGCTTGGGCTCTTTTAGTATTAGTTATAGTTTGTATCGGGGATGTAGCTGAGGATAGGGCCCGCCACAATTTGGTCCAGTCACGGTTTCATTAGGGAAAAAGAGCTGAATCACATTCATATGTTTATATAATCTAAATATCAAATATATGCATCATAGAATGTGTATAGTGTGAAAGTGATAGAGCATAGGCCTACTCATTAAAAATATCAGACAATGAAGAAGTGACTTTCTGCTTGTAAACCACATCTATCCCTAAATTCACCACTAAAATATTATATATTTTAGATATTTACATAGCCATACAGCATCTTTATGTCCATTTCAAAGAAAAACTGTTCTTCTTCAAATATTAGCCCACTCAGAGAAAGTTCCCCACATGAGCAACACTACAATGAATTTCTGCTTTGTTTCACTGTCACAGGGCCAAGTCTAAGAACGGAGGAAGATCCTTAAGGGAGAAGCTGGATAAAATCGGCTTGAATCTACCTGCGGGCAGACGTAAGGCAGCCAACGTCACCTTGCTGACGTCACTAGTCGAGGGTAAGTCGGTATCGTAAATCACGTTCCCAGTTTTGTTGCTCGCGCGATATCAGGTGCTTGCAAACTGGGATTTTTTTCTCTCTTCTTTCTCTGTGTTTGAAATCAGCATATGCGCTCATCCGTGTAATGTGGACCGACTTTGCCTCGCAAGTAATAAACCATGAAGGATGTGTGTGTGCGTCTGTGTGTGTGTCTGTGAGTGTGTACGTGGGGAGAGAGAGAGAGAGAGAGAGAGAGAGAGAGAGAGAGAGAGAGAGAGAGAGAGAGAGGATGAGAGAAGAGAGAGACTGGTGCTGGTAATTCTAGTGGCTTTGCAGCATTGGCCTTCGCTTTCAGGAGCACACTTGCAGGTCCGCGACTGGCCTAGTTTATACGCTGGATGAGTTTGTGTTGAAGTCCAGTTAATTATTGAGTGCGGCTTGTTTATTGGGCACCGCTGAGCTGTTTCACCTCACGGATGAGAAGTCGATTGATTTATTAACCCTGCATTGTTTCGAACATTAATACAGCCTGGATATGGCAGCGCAGGGGCTGATTTTTAATGGTGACTTAATTCTTTCGTTAATAGCTTCCCGTGCTTTGGTTTCCAGTAGAGATTTTTGTTGCATGCAAATGGAATGGCGCTGACCTATTGGGAGCTATATGTTTTGGGCCTATTAAAGAATAAATTAGTCAGTTATGGTGCTGAGAAGATGCCTTTTCCCCCGACTGGATAAATCCATTTTGCTTGCAGTTGAACCTTATTATTCAGTGCAGTGGTATTTGGTGTGCCTTGGGTTTCCAAAGGTGAAAGCCCGCGATGGTTCATTGGTCCCTGTTAATCATTATTACAGAGGAGGACCGAATGCAATATTCATTGTGCTTCGTAGAAATTTGGTGCTGTATTTTAATGAGCCTGGAGAAATGTATGAATCTGAGTAATAAGGGGGCTGGTGGCAGAGAGGGTGAAAGCAGTCGGTCATTTAGTGAAGAGACACTGCATTTTCTGAAGAGCTGTCATTCTTTATGGTCCCCTCCATTTTATGGAAACGAGTTTACTGGACTTGAGCTTTGATGCTAATTGGCGCATGCCTTCTTCCAGAGCAGAGGCTTATGGACAGGAAGCCCCGCAGTCAAACTCAACTGCTTCAGGAAATTAAAACCAAAGAGTTAGAAAAAAAAATTCTGCGAGCTCAGACTCAGACCAGTGTCGGACTGACCATCGGAGGCAGCATCAGTGGACCGTCAAAAAAAAAAAGAAGTCGTGAAGTTTTTACCGGCCCATCAGTCTCCTCACCTGTCTGTAGTTCAGGGTGATCTTGAGAGCCTGTTCTGGGATTGATCTCTCAGGCCAATCACAACTAAGTTTCATCCCTCACCTACATGGCCCCCTTCCCCTGCATTTCTTTCCCAATCAAACCTGGACAGAATGAAACCTGCAGTTCTCACAGCTGATCTATGTAAAAAAGGAAAGCAAGATTTAGACATAGCTCTTCAAAATTGCCTCCCCATGCCTCTGTGATCTGCTGGACTTTCAATAACGTGCAGGCATTGGTAATCAATGACATGGTGTTAAGCATGATGCTGCGTCTATATTTCATATCCACTTATTGTTTCTCTTCCATATTAAACCGTTCTCTCAGTGTGGAGGGGAGAGCTTGATGTGTATTGACAGCTCGCAGGGCTGTTTTATTATTATTTCTGGGCTGTTATTGTTCTCATCGTCATTAATGTTGTTAGGGAGGCACAGGTGCCATAACCCTGCTGTCTGAACGCATAAACAGAGTGGACGCTGTGCTCAGATCAGATTAATCATGTGTTAGTCCAAAGCACGGAGTGTGAACTGCTCTGAATCTGATGAAACCATATTTAATAAGCAAACACATTCAATCTCATTTTTTTCTTTCTCAGGCGAAGCGGTACATCTTGCCAGGGATTTTGGTTATGTATGCGAGACTGAGTTTCCAGCCAAGGCAGTAGCTGAATATGTAAACCGTCAGCATTCCGACCCAAACGAACAAGTCCAAAGAAAAAACATGCTATTGGCCACGAAGTAAGTGCTATTATCACATTTCACTGTGTCACATCGAATGCATCCCAGTCTGTGCCAGTGTGTGTCTGTTTATTTGACAGTTTACACACAACACACACACACTCACACACACACACACGTACACACACACACACACACACACACACACACACACACACACACACACACACACACACACACACACACACACACACACACACACGCACGCACGCACGCACACACGCACACACGCAGATAGCTAATTGAAATTGTAGTTTTGTTTTTAACAAATATAATTTTTTAAACGCTATGCCAAATTTGTAATCACGTTAAAATATCTTGTCCACTTTGCTTCATGTCCACATCAGCCTACTAACATTACTGGCTAACCTAAAATTAATTAACACACGTTTTTAGCCTCACACTTTCGAACTGTAGTCTACTTGACATCTCTGTTAATTACGGATTTCATTGAGACGCTTATTTTATTTATACTTAAACGACATATATATATATATATATATATATATACATATATATCAATTATGATTCAACTACTTTTAGCGCAGTTAAATATAGAGGTGCTGGCGTGTTGACTGGGCCTTTTCCCTCATCCACACACACAGCAGCATTTTGTTTGCTCTGATATTTCACTGACACTGACAGATAGCTAGTTCTCGCTACCATTGGTTATTTTTGCTATGCGTTAACTGAAACATGGGAATCCTTACAAGGCATAGAAAAGCAGGGGGGCAGCATTTAATATTAATGATGGGCCGCTATTATCAAACAGCTGTCAGCTATAACCGCTTATTATAGGCTTTTGAGTGTTATTAAGATACCAATATACCATGAAATGAAGAGTAAACAAGCGCTGCAATTTTCTGTACGTTATCAATCTATTTTCCATATACTCACAGGATAGGCTGCTGAATATAGTTAAGAAAGGAAATGTGTCTTTTGAAAGAATAAAAACATGAATTCATTTTTTTTCTGATTATATTTTTGATCTTGGTTGTTAAGTTCAAAGTTTACAATGAAAAAAAATGTTCACCTCATATCAACAAGTCATTTAGACTCATGTTTTCTCTTAAAATTTAATTTTTTAAAATAAAAGTAAAATATCCTGCCACTGATCTGAGAGATTAATTTCCACCTGTTTGTTGCTCCAGGGCATTTTCTTTACCCAAGTTTTAATTTCAAGAATCAAAGAGCCACAGTTTCATTACACTAATGGATGTTTTTAAAATTATTGAAATACGCTGATTTTTAAAGAGGGGGGCTTATCTCACCACAGTAGCTGGTCACTCTTCACTTGCCCACTCCTGCAGGACCCACTGATTTGAAAATGGCAACGTTTGTTGTGTGTCCACTTTGATTTATTTTAATCTGGATATTAAAATTACATGCAGGGGTTTCTGATACTCATTAACACGCTACTCTCTTTGTTTTAGGCAAGTCTGTAAAGAGTTCACAGACCTGCTGTCCCAGGACCGCTCGCCGCTGGGAAACTCACGGCCGCAGCCCATTCTTGAACCGGGAATCCAGAGCTGCTTGACCCACTTCAGTCTAATCTCGCACGGTTTTGGGACCCCGGCACTGTGCGCGGCCATCACGGCTCTGCAGAACTATCTTACCGAGGCTATCAAAGCCATGGACAAAATGTACCTCAACAACAACCCTAACAGTCACTCAGATAACGGCACTAAAGGCGGAGACAAAGACGAGAAACACAGAAAGTGATGTTTCCATCCCGCCTTCAGTGAGGGCCACATCCCAGCGCCCTTCTTCTACACCGACCCACACCCCTGCGACTCGCCCCGGCCCCACTCATCCAATATAAATATTATAAATACCTTATAAATACTATTGATAAAGTTAATCGTGTCACTTCCTGATCTTGCGTGGTTTTACATGTTTTTGTTTTTACATCCCACTTTGGATTCATGAGGAAATGACGCAAGTATTTTCTTCTTCCAACACCTGAACCACATGAAATGTTATTTAAAAAAGAGAAAAGAAAAGAAAAAGGTTGCAGAGGAACAGCTCCAGGGCGAGGAGGAAAAGGTGTACTGCCTCAGCCAGAGGACTTTTTATGTACTCCCCCTTTTTATGAGCTGCAACGAATGGACTGAAATCCAGCGACCCCTCTATATCTCAATTTTACGATTGTGACAAAAACGAAGCGAAAAGAGGATGAATTCTTATCAGTATTGTGAATAATAAACTTGAAAACAAAGAGAAATTCCACAGAGCTCCCTGTCATGACTTCAGTTGTAGACTCTCACTCTCTCTCCAAGCGACCAACTTGAACTTTTTGAATTTCAACACGATTCACGGTTATATAAGGGAATCAGTGTTCATGTATGTATATATTTATTTATGTGTAATTTAATGGGAATTGTAAATATGGTGCGTCTGTTGAAACTTCTTTTTTTATTTATCTGGTGCCTCCTGTTTTAGTGGGTTTGAATATTCGGTTAGTTCTTCATGTGATTTTATGGTTTTTAGAAAACAGAAGTTTGGGGTATTTTTATTTCTCTGGGATATTTCAATTCAGCCCTCTTGTAGCATGTTGAGGCGACATTGAAGCAAGTGAACAAATTTAATAGAAATAAACTTCCATTTCTCTCTCTATATATCATATTTTTCAGTTTTTAATTTGAGACAGAGCATAAGTGAGACCCGGAGGAGAACTGTTTTTTGTGTGTTTCTATTTTCTTTTTTATACAAGCTTTTATGTGTTGTGCCAATCAGAATACGTTTCACCCCTTGTTCTCTCCTTGAAGCACCATAAAAGCAATAAATGGAATATTGTCTTTTTTTAAATGTTGGAAGACATTCAAAAAACATTTTTGGGACCACCTGATATGTTGTAATGTCCGATAATGTCCAAAATTGGAGGCGGTTTTAGCTGTATTGTATAGACATGTGCTGGCAATAGTTCCCATGCCTGTCAATGTATTATAGTCCTTTGTTGCCCTGAAAAAAAATAAATATTTGATACGCTTCATCTCGATTTTTATTCATATCTTTTAATTTTTTATTCACTGCTTGATAGCCTGGGTGCTTTTTCTTTCTGTTTTTTTTTTTTTGTCTTGGTTTTTTTTTCCATTCTGAACGGCTACAGTAATTGAGCTTAAGTCTCCCCTGACGATTGCTCCTTGCAATAAGCAGCTGAACTCATTGTTTCCCTCAAGTATAATAAAAAAAATCTTACTTTAAACTCCCTAGTTCAGAGCACAGGATCTTATGCAGGCCAAATGGCTCACAACAATGGATATATTCGCGTTTGAAGTGTGCAGCACCACCCCTCCAGCTAAAGCCCTCTGAGATGTATATAGGCCTGGTGTGCAATGTTTGGTTGTTATAGGCTATATTTGGCTCTCCCCCGTTTATTCTGTGCTGGAGTCTTATTCAAAGACATGCATCAAATATTTGTTAGGACTATGTTGTTTGCCTCTCAGTGTAATCAATGAACAATCAGTGCTCAGTATGCTGGATTTGTATGGATATTTTGTGATATAATCATAACGAATCTCCCTCTCTAACTGCTATTTAGTACATTTGCGTTGTTTGGCTGGGTGACTATAAATGTGGCTACCTCGTTGGCTGTGATGGCAAATCTGATAGTGGCCTTTGCTTTATTTTGCGTGCAGAGCTGCTGCAGAGAGTAGACCGTTGCATAACATTTGAGCTGAGTTTGATTGTATATTGATGGCGTGGCACCTATAGCTCGAAATCAATCTCATCTGGAGCATGAATCAGTCCAGTGATATATGCATCTTGGTATTGTTTCTTACTTTTCCTATTTCACTGTCTGGTAACCATGCACTTTAAAATACTGTAACACTGGGAGATAGAGCACTGGGCGAAATCATCCCCCGTCTCTCTCTCTCCCTCCAGTGTCCTCACCCATATTTATCATCTGCATGATTTTCGGGCCCTGGTTTAATTCTGAGGCAGTTGTTTTGCAGGAGGGTGAATGAAACCTAACTGTACATGTCCTTGGCATAATTGCGATGCAGAGTGCTGGAGCAGGTGAAGCGAAGCATTGTCTGTCAGGCCCTGTTTTTGTTGGCTCAGTCCTCAGATTGTGTGTGGGATCCTGTCCTCAGGCACAATAGCTCACTCATAAAGGGGAGAGACTACCCGGCTGCTCCTGCTGTGGTGGATGTGAGGGGGGAATATCATAAATAGTCACTTTAAGGGAAAACAATCGTATTAAAACAGCATTCATTGGTATTAGCGGAAAAGGGAAGCCCCTCACGTGTGTCATTAATGCTAATGTTATTTAATAAATTTATCGGGGTTTGGTTGAATGAAAACAGGTTTTTGAGGGTGAAACGAACGCATTAGAAATAGTGGTATCTCTAACAATGGTGGATATTTGTGCTTATTATTAGTATAAGATGAGGAGCATCCCAAGGCCTATAATTGTGTCTCTATGTGTAATAGAATTGTGTTAAAGAAACTCCAAATCCCATTGTCTGTCATTTGTTTGCACCGATACTAGCCTATAATTTGCATACACTTTTAATACAAAATTGTATTTTTACCCTAATTTGATCTTAAACAGGTACAGCTAGTTTCCCAGAATGCCTCACAGCGAAAGTCATTTGCCAAAAAAAAGAAAAAAAGAAAAAAAAAGAAAAGAAAAAAAAACAAGGTCTGAAATTTGAAGAGCAGTCAGAAATACCCAGCTGAATTTGGTTAATTCAATCCATATCTGCTGCTTCTCTCAACTAAACCAATTACATCTGGTTTCCATATAGTAATTAATAGGTGTGAGGCCTGTTGTTATCAAATATTCTGGAGAATATAGGAAATAAAATGTATACAAGGGGTTAAAGCGTTACCGTCTGATCAAGCGTCTTTTGCAGGCAGATGGTGGAGTTTTCTTTCTATCTATTTTATATCTTTATTTAATGGCGTATGTTTTCTGCTGGTAAAGACAGGTTCAGTGGGCTGGCGCTCTGTTGCAGATGTGTAATCAAAGGACAAGCACAGGCAGACACAGTTACACCACCTCTGTGGACAAAGCTAGGTATGCGCACACCATCTTAGTTTAAATCCAAAGCTGCTGCATCAAATAATTTAATTTAAATAAATTAGATGCTCTGTGTTTTTGTGAATTACTTTAAAGGATAAATTAATGTTTGTGTGCTAATGGCCTACTCCAAACATATTTATTTTTCATGCTAGTCGCTTTCTACTGAACAGTGTCTGTCGGTCATAGCCTATAACGCAACTTTTTATCTACAACCAGCTGCACATTAACGCCGCGCTCATCAGTTCTGTACAATTGTGCCCCATCCACTTTACACGCTAGCAGTCATGTTTGTGGTCAGGGAGTATTTAGTTGATGCTGCTGAGATCACTGCTTGGTGAAAGGAGTGTCTGCATGGCCTAATTACCATGTAGCACCATCACTACAACAGTCTGCACTGTAATGCTTTGAGGCAATGCTTTGGAGCTGCTTGCCTGCATGGAAAGATATAGGGCACCGACCCACAAGGCCCAGATTTTTTCTCTGCATTACTACCTATGTTATATTAGTATGAGTGGAATTTGATTTAAACCCAGCTGTGCTTCTAACATTTAAAATTAGGATGTGTGTGTGACGGAGACTGGAATGACTATTTGAAAATGATCAGTTATTACGCAGCACTTTGGAAAAAGAAAGAAAAAAATCTCGACCTTTGCAGCCGATTAGTGTCCACACAATGCTGGAAAGTTTTCCCTTATTAATGGCGCGGAGATGTTTTGATAAAAGGTTTGATGGACTAAACATGTTGATGTTCTAGAAATACTAGATGAGACAAAGTCCTAAGTGATAGGAAACAGATGGCCACTTTATCGACAGAGTTTTCTTCAAACGCAGTGCTGTCAATCTGAGCTACTTCCATACTTTTACTAATTTCAATCTGCTGGTTTAATAATAAGCGGCTTGGACAAGACACGAGGTTCCACTAAACGACATTTGATACGGTTATTGGTGCAATCAAATTATGTTACTTTAAAGTTTGCAATGAAGCTCAAAATGGCTAATTGTCCTCAACTCTGACATCAGCCGTCATTTGGAGCTTTGGCCCCTTGCCTGGCGCTGACCCCCTCTATGGGCCCCCTTGCCCACTCTACGAGCCAGAGCTCAGAAGCCAAGAGAGGTCAATGACTCCACCAAATCGCCCTTGATTACTTGAGACATTAGGTAATCGATTAGAACACATTAAGTCACTTTGAATAAACAAAGGGACTCCTGATAGTCACTGGAGCTCGATAATTCGACCGCAATATGGTTCATTCACAAAAATGAGAGGTTTTTGATTAGTCTTTAGCAACATCTGCACGGGAGAACACGTCACGTGCGCCTCCACACACACACACACACACACACACACACACACACACACACACACACACACACACACACACACTTATACACAGCCTGTATACATATTTAAAGTTAAAATACATTTTTATGTTATTTTTAAAGTTTATTTTTGCGTTTATAAACAATAAACAATGTTTGAGTGTTATCAGGAATCATTGTTGTCCACCAGTCACCTATCAAGCACTGAGGTCTGACAATTTCATGGGCTTGTGTATCTCCAAATATATGAAAAAAAGAGCGGATTAAAATTGTGTTATTGTTTCTCCACTCGGTTAATGCAGTTTATATTCCAGATTTAGTCATTCTCTCTCTCTGCCTCTCTCTCTCTGCTTCTCCCTGCATCCTCTGCAGTCAGCCAGGGGGGGAGTGTCGCCCCGGGCCAAACATATGCTTCTTTCCATTGCACTAATCCAAATGCAGCGTGGAGGAATAATTGCTCGAGTGGCCGTGGCTTCGCAGGGGCTTTGTCCCTCACTGGCTCCCGTCAGCCAGACACACGCCATTTCAATCAACTCTCTCTCTCTTCCTCTCTGTATCAAACCCCAGACCTTTTATCAAACCAGACCCCCACGCTTCATATGCACAGAGCCACATCCCTTAAAATGTTTTTTTTATTCCCCCCTCTTGTTGTTGTTGCTGTCAGGTCATCATATTTGGGGCACCATATTCTTTAATCTTGACAGTGCAGCAAGTTGGCCGCCTTTATTGGCAAAACGGTCGCGTGAGCAATGACTATACATGAAAATGACGTTTGGTTGACTTTTGTCAGTGCCCCTGTATTTCAGACATTTTTTTCACAGATTCCAAGAACCAAGCCGTATTCAGTCAAGAAGGGAAAATCAGCTTTGTCAGCCAACCAGAAAGCTGACATGGCTGATTGTAAGTTAATATGAATACTGTAGATAAATGTCTGTAACATGTTAGAAAATGACAAAAATTAAGTGACAAATGACATGAGTTCCACAGATATTGCTTAAAAATCCAAGCAGTTTTTGGACCAGTTTAAAGTAAGTAATTAATATTATTATTACGATTATGATGATGATGATGATGATTATTATTATTATTATTATTATTATTATTATTATTATTATTATTATTATTATTATTATTATTATTATTATTATTATCAATGTTTCAAATAGGCTATTGAAAATTACGTTTCTGGTAATATTGAATTTTTTAAAGAATACATTCCAAACTTGTGAATTTTAATTTTATGGAATAAAATAATGGGGGAGAAATGTTGTGTTGGTGCATAACAGCAGGTGGACAAACAGCCCGTATCCACCTGTCCCACTGTGCAAAGTTTTGCAGTTCTATTCAATAGGCGACAAAAGGTGATTCGATAAAGGGACAAAAAAATATCTGTTTTCCTGTAATGACTTTAGAGAAATACACGGTTCCTCCTGCAAGTGCATAGAGTAAATTAAGGCGCACTCCGGCCTATGTTATGTCCTGTACACTTTAACACCCTATGTCACCCTTTGCCTTATTTTCAACGATGAAAGATCACTCTAGTAAAATGGGGAATTTGCTAGGAAATCACATATTTCCACGGATAAGGGATGGAATAAGACAGA